ACTCTGAGTTGATTCCAGCTTAGTTGTAGCATTCTTTTTACTCTTTTGCTCCATATCCGAATATGAACATTTTCTCATGTGCATGCTGCATGCTTGGGTATTTGCTTTCAGTATTGAGCAAAGAAATGGATCCCTTCAGCTCCTTTCTTATTGTGCTTTTGGGAACTTCGAGAGCTGGGTTCGGGACCAAGGTATTCTGTGGATGATCCCCTACGTGCAAGTTCATCAGCCTTTTTGTTGCCTGGGAGACCTCTATGTCCTGGCACCCACATCAATGTGACGTTATTTTGGTCCGCCAAGTTGTTGCGTTCTGCTCGGCATTCTATTACCAGTGCAGAGCTGCCTTAAAGTTCTTTAAGGCCCCCAGTGCTGCCTGACTGTCTGTGAGTAAAGTGAGTCTCCTGTCTTTGCAGGCCTTCATATTGTTCATTCTTGCGAATTGTAGTATTGCATATACCTCTGCCTGGAAAACAGAGATGTATGTGACCCTATAGAGAAGAAGGTTTCACATCTCCCTTCTTGTTCTTGACTGTAGATTCCTGCGCCTGTCCCATTCTCAGTCTTTGACCCGTTCCAGTAAGAAGCCTTTGAGATTGGAAAGTCCATGATGGTTTTCCCATTCCTCCCTTTCACTAATTAGGACTTGGAAGGATATTTCAGGTATGAGTATTTGAGAAATGCATAGACAGTTATCATGTGGAATACTGTCAGACTTATGACTTCCCTTATTTGTGTGTGCCCTGATCTGACTGTTAGTTTGCTCAAGTTAGCTTCCGCCTGGATTACAATATGTAGTGGAGGTAGATCAAGCTACTATTGGTGTGCTTTCTTTCCATGCACCCTGTAATGCCGACAGACAAGTCTCTGCACCCTGCCAAGTCTTATTCTGGTCCCTGTCTTGCTATGTCTTTGTCCACCATACCAAAAACGTATAAGTTATCGCTGGCTTTTTAACCGTTGTGTATAGCCAGTGCATAATGTCCGGCCGCCGCAGCCCCCATGTTTTGCCAAAAGATCTCCTGGAAGTGCCAGTTCTGACCTTTTAATTACTTTGTCCAGATGTTTGTTCCTTAATTTTGAGTATATGATTACCCCATGATATTATCTTAACTGGATTTCGCTGAAGCCTGAAGGCATGGGCGCCGGCAGCAGGGTGCAAGGGGGTGCACTTGCACCCCCCTGTCAGAAATACATTGAAACAATTATTTTTATTTCGCGCGCCATCAATCTGTAGAATGGCGAGAATTTCGAATTTACTCAATTTCTAGTTTATTGATATAAATTTCTCTAAATTCTACGATTTGATAGCCCGAAAAAAGTATCGAATTGCGAGAAGCTTGTGCCCAGGGGCAGACATGTCACCGGCAGTGTTGCCAAAGCTACCCCGTTCAGGGTAGATCTACCCCTTTTGAAAACAATCTCGCCCTTCCGCTCCCTTCAACTAAATCTACCCCGCTCTAAATACAATCTATGCTATGCTATAATGCAAAAAGAATGCTTCTGCTTATCGCTCATTAAAAATACTTACAAAATCCAAATTATGAGAAGCAATTTATATTTATTTGAACTATACCCAGCAACAAGTTATTTGTCTACGCCTAAGATATAACCTCATTTAGAGATTCCTTTCAGTGTCTCCTTTGAATTTGTGTGGTAATTGATGCAGAAAAATATATAAAAACATTGAAGTTATTTACCTAACAGCGTCAAAAACGCATGTGTCATAAAATTTTAGTTATATCATCAGCAAAGCAGTCTAGGTACTTTACCGCACACTATGCGGTGAAGTAACTATACCGCACACTTTGCAGTTTATTTTACCGTAGCCTATGTGGTAAAGTAACTTTATCGCATAGTGTGCGCTAAAAAGCTGCTTTCCGCACGCTCTTAGGTGAAATTTTTGTTGCTACCCCGCACCGATTCTATTCTACCCCGCTTTCTTGCCGTACTCTGCCCCAATAAAGAAAGAGCTTGTGGCGACACTGGGGGGGGGGGGGGCATCGATCCAGCGCCCCCCATTCCCCAAACATATTTTCTGGGTGCGCCACTGCTAAAGGGATAGGTTAGGCCTAGGGGCCTCCAAATATATTTTGCCCTGAGGGCCACTCGTCCCTAGATTCGCCACTACCCGTTCCACTTTCCACCGAGGTGAAAGCATCATATAATTTACTTAATCACCTAGAAAAATTATTTTTCTGAAAGCTCAAAATAACCGTTTTTGGGCGTGGCACCCGGAAAAATTTTCGCGCCTCCGGCAGCTCCTGCGTCGGGCATTCACCTTCTTAAATTAGTAATTTGAACCAATATAACACCTCCCTGAAAGTAATCCTGGCGGCGCCCATGCCTGAAGGTAAAGAGATCCAAGTCTCTTCGTTTTCCTTTTTTTGGTAAAGGGGACGTTGTCGATTTGGTGACACTTATTTTCAACCCTACAGTCTGTGTCCACCTAGAGACTATTGTTAAAGCCTGCTGCATACGATCTCAAACTGTATGGTTGAATTTTCCCTGGGATATTATGACCAAATCATCTGCATATCCCACTTCTTGATGGTTCTTGCTTTTTAGTACCTCTATCAGCTCGTCCATCACCTGATTCCACAGTAGCAGTGATAACACTCTACCCTGTGGACATCCCTTTGCAACCCCAGACGTTACTGTTCTACCTAGGAGCGTGAACTGGATGACTCTACCTCGAAGCATGCATGCAGTCTATCCACCTGCAGCATGTATCAGCAATACTTTGTGGGCGTAGAGCTCTGATTGCCTCCAAAGGAAGTTTTGTCAAACGCTCCACGCTCCCTCTATATCAAGGAAGGCTCGCAACATAAGTTCCTTATTTTCCAACGTACTTTCTACCCGCTAGACGAGGAGATGTTGTGTTGTTTCAGTTTAGGTTCCTGCTTTATAAGCATATTGGTCCGGTTGTATTGATGTGGTAGCCAATGCACCACCCCGAATGTGGAGGCTCAAGCAATTTTTCTAGAGCCTTCAACAAAAATGACATGAGGCTTATGGGTCTCAGAGCTTCTGCATTATCCTGTCCTATTTTACCAGGTTTGGGGATGAAAACAAACAACTCTGATTTCTTTCCAGGTTTCGGGAATATGATTCAGTTGCAAGCTTGCTCCAAATATAATTAGGAGCCTGTAGTATAGCGTTCTATATTGCCTTTTTGAAGTAATACCTGGTTCTGGCGATTTATATGTCTCGAATGAGTCAACGACCCATTTCAGCCTACGCCATGTTACTACTTTTTTTGCCATCTGCCAGTCTTCCCTGGTGCCATATCTGATTGTGGCTAGGTCTACACAATGACGGCTTTCGGGATTCAAGGATTACACTGCCCGGGAAGTGGACTCTGTAAAGATTTTCCAGAGCAACATTTTTGTATCATGAAAACGATTGTTGGACATCAGATAGATATATATGATTTTTTCTCTCCTAATTTTCCATTATAAGTGGTCAAATATATTAGAAGGTCTATTTTTGGTGTTTTCATATGAAGTGCGACACGGCAGTACGATAATAATACGTTTATGCAAGAACACACAAAAAGAGAGAGAGAGAGCGGGCGAAGTTTAAATTTATTGCCTTCAATTTTCTTTATTTCTTGCCCGTCTGGTGCAAGAGGCAAAATAAATGTCGCATCTCCCAAAATAAACGATATCAAAACAGCGAAATCCTTGTTTTAATGGTTATAAATAACGGGCGGCGGACTTTGTGTAATCCGCATGTTGAAGTTACGCGATTTTGTTGCCTGTCAGACACGATTCCATATCTCTGATATTTATTTATATTTCCGATTTTAATATGGTGCACTTTACGCATGGTACGGCGAAAAGACATGATGCTATTACTTGACTTGTTCTTGATTAGTATCTAGAAAATAATTTTCATTTAACTAAACTGTTTTGCAAGAACTTCTCCCGACAATAAGAAAACACTATAGAAATAGATCTGCTTCCAAACCGACCTCTAATGGATAATTCTAAATAATTAAACATCCAATTCCATGAGAACTGGGAGAAGCCGCATTCCTATAGGATACAGATTGACATATTATTTCATCCTAAAACCTAGTCTTCGATCTCAAGTCCCCCTCAAAAACCAATTAATAGAACGTCGAATCGTGCGTCTTTTCTAAACTATGGGCTTAAGACTTTCCGCTTTTTGTTTTGGAAACATGCTCGCTTTCGTGAATTATTCCCTATACGCGGATATGAGGATAAAGGGCGCATTAGCTTTGTGTGAACCAAAAAGAGGATGTTTAGGTTGAATTTTGAAATAATGAGGGGCCAACCAAGAGAGTGTTTCTAGTTTTGTCACTCTGTAACTTTGTATTATAAAAACGAATAGATAAATATTTTTCTAGAAAAACTAATCTTCACTGATCTGATGGTCACCCTGATGTCCCGATTATTTGCCTTCTGATTTTTTTATGGGGTTATCATTATTATATCGAGACCTTTAACGATGAGTTGCAATTAGTTTTTATGTTTTTATTAGCCAAAATATCCAGTTTCGAAGAGAAGAAAACATTCTGCAACACCAAATCAGAATCAAAAGCATACAACAATGTAGGTATTTGATTACATTTTCCTTTTCGTGTGAATTTATTTCCGTCTTTTGAAATTAAGAAATACGATCAACATAAAAGACAAACGTGTGACAGACGGCCGAAAAAAAAAACGCATTTACCAGAGTGTTTTGTCGTTTTACGAGTTTATAGGCCCCCATAAGGTGAGCCGAAATTTATAGTTATTTAATATTGTCTGATATGTAAAGCTATAAAATCTATTTTCGTGCCTCTTAAATTTCGGTTTGTTATCAATAAATAACGCTACTCTTCTTGCACACCGAATTTAAATTTCGTCGATAAACTTGAAACGGGAGAATATGCCTCAGACTAAAGCCCTAAGGGGATCTCGTCTAGTTTGAGGGTGTAGGGTTTCTTTTACGTTGCGAGTGCCATAATTTTCACATAATAAATGTTGTTTCAGGTTTCGAATCTCCTGGTACGACATCAAGCTTGGATTGCCTGAATTTGATCGTCCAAAATATCACATCCAAACGACCAAAAGCGAACAACGAAATTAGAACCTGAATCTTTGCTCAACAATTTATTTGTACTTATTTTAAATAAATAGTTTCTTGTATTAGGTATATATTGTTTATTTTTTTAAATTTCGATTTGTATTACATATTCTCAGCTCTTGAATTACTTTCAGGAAATTTCTCAATGAATTCAAGAGCCGGTAACAATCAAAATTTGAACTATATAAGCGGCTCTTGATTCGCTGGATAGGTTTTCTAGAAGGAATCAATACACGTTAATAATCAAAATTTTGATCAGTATAGTCTAGATCTTGAGGATAAATTACCTACTAGGCGAATCAAGATTTTGTGAAAAAGCCTTGTAGATTAAGAGCCGCTCATAATCGCAATATAAACTATTCTCAGCTCTTGAATTGCTTTCAGGAAATTTCTCAATGAATTCAAGAGCCGGTAACAATCAAAAGTTGGACTATAAAGCGGCTCTTGATTCGCCGGATAAGTTTTCTATAAGGAATCAACGTCCGTCATTCAAGATCCGGTAAATAAGAATCAAAATTTGGACTATAAGCGGCTCTTGATTCACTGGATAAGTTTCCTATAAGGAATCAATATCAGTTATTAGTCTAAATTATAATGGTTTAGATATTCGCGTCCTTGGTTTAGAAGTAGTGGATGAAGATAGTGAGGTTTAGGACAAAAATCAAACTCCTGGATTAAAAATTCGCCGTGTGATATGATTACCATATCACACCAGTTGAATTTGGTTGCTAGTGTGTCGTCAAAATCTCTTCCCGCAATTTAAGTCTGTGTTGTTTTGTTTCAATCATGTCACAAATGATTATGTACAATGTGGAGTTTTTAGAGTTAAGTGTTCAAGAAAGCTCCTGATTTGAAGAAGAGCCCTGAAGAAGGCCTAATATATAAGGCCGAAACGTCGGCGAATTTTTAATTTAGGAGTTTGATTTTTGTCCTAAACCTCACTATCTTCATCCACTACTTCTAAATTATAATCAGCAGTCAAAATTTTGATAATAAATTACTCAGGCGAATCAAACTTCTGTGATAAAACCTTATTTGGACTTGTGTCATGATTGCCACTATAAAAATTACCTTGTAGATCAAGAGCCGCTAATAATCAGAATTTGGACTCTTCAGCTCTTGAATTAATTGCTTTCAGGAACTTGCTCAATTATGAATTCAATAGCCGTTAACAATCAAAATTTGGGCTATAAGCGGCTCTTGATTCGCTGGATACATTTTCTAGAAGGAATCAATATCCGGTAAAAACACTGATCGTAAAAACCAAAATTATGTTCAATAGAGAGATCTTGAAGATATAAGTATGTATTATTCAGGCGAAATGTAAAATTAAAAAGCCCTACATGTTTCGAAGCTATTACAGCTTCATCATCGTGGGCAAGTTTGCTCAATATTACTTCCTCTACCAAACATGTAGGGCTCTTTAATTTTCAATTAAAAAAAAGTGTGTGGAGGAAGCAGATAGACTTATATTTCTATTGAATTCAAAATTTTAAATTCTATACTACTACCGCTAGTGCAAACAGCTGACGACTTAGTTATGACGTCATAAATGGTGACACACCAATATGGCGGCGATTACCAAAAACGAAGCCGATACGCAATCCTGTAGTGTGTATTATCCTTATGAAATCCCGACACAGCGTCACCAAAGACCTGTCCTGTGTTTGTCCGAGGCGTAGTTTTCCCGAGAATTTTCTCGACAGTACCGTAGAAATCCAGGCAAATTTGTTTGACACTCCCGAAAACCGTACACTAACTACTGCTGTCACCTTGTGTCAGCTTATTAGGTATATTCGGTTCAGTACAGAGTTTCAGTGCCTACATTCTGATTCTGATATGTATTATAAAACACGGAAAATTAGCAAGTCATGAGTTTTTGATTATTTTTTAGGCTGGTTAGATGAGTTTCGCCAGATTCACTGAATAAGCGAACAAAGTGGCCACGATGTACAATTTAGGTGGGTTCGGGATAGGATAATACACACTACTATGGATTGCTTCCTTGTTTTTGGTAATCGCGACCATATGGTTGCCGACGTCATCAACTAAGTCGTCAGCTGTTTAGTTTTTAAATTTATGATGAAAAATATCATTCAATTTTAATTAATATAATAGGCAAAAACGAAAGATACGAACCAGATCTAAAAAGGAGTTGTTTTAGAATGTTAATTGATGAAGTAAAACCAAGTATGCATAAAGCAAACGAACGGGAAACAAAACCTGTGGTGCAAACAGCCTACGTCAAGGTAAGAAAAAAACATGCTGCCTACGTCACAATTGGTAAAGTAACCCCACATGCGTTCGGGAAGGACGTGCGAGAATCAAAAACGGTGTTAGGGTAAGGTTAAGTTAAGGCTATGGTCCGAATATAACCAAACGTTAACCAAAATAACCGAATCGATTGACAGATGGTTACTGAAAATTCCGGTTTCTTGGGAAACGCGAATATGAAATAAAAAATAATTGACAGAATTTACACATAAAACCAACAGAACCGACATCCGATAGCCGGTCCGGTAACTTTTTTGACATTTGGTTAACCAGATTTCAGGAAAACAAGGTCCAAAAGTAACCACTTTTCCAGGAACCAGAATAATTTGATTACTTTCGGACCACGAAACCACAACCTTGGTTGTATTCGGACCATAGCCTTATGGCGGGTATTATAAAACTTTTTGGACAGAATAACTAAAAGTTAACTTCTGGAATGACGTTACTTCTCATGAAATTCCAGAAGTTAACTTTCTGTTAACTGTCAAAGTAGTTTTATAATACCCGCCCTTAGGGCCAAATTATGGACCAACTGGTAAGTGTCTGGTTGTTACCTAGCAGGTACTTTCTATGCATTAGAGAATAGAAAGTACCTGCTAGGTAACAACCAGACACTTACCAGTTGGTCCATAATTTGGCCCTTAGTCTTACTTTTCATGCATCCGTTTTTCCGTCAGTCAGGATCCGGGAGTATTCCGATTGGTCCAATATTTTGGCGCCAAAATATTGGACCAATAGAAATAAAGTGCGACAAGTGAGTGAACCTGTGTGGAAGGGTTAACGCAATTTTCGCAATGCACCACGTCGGGGACCCGTCGCGTCGTATAGTATAGGTTTTCTTCTTCCCCTCTGCTACTTCATACGTTACCAAGGTTCATTCACTTGTCGCACTTTACTTCCGGATCAACGGATTGACGGAAAAACGGATGCATAAAAAGTGGGCTTTAGAAACTCCAAATGCACCCTGGCCGTTCGGTTTCCACTCCAAAAGCTTTTTGGTCACGTAATAGGTTTTAAAAACACCACTCCAACTCTACTCCAGGTTCCGCTGGTCCATTCCGAACCCCGCTTTTGACGAGATTTTTACGGTCGGGACAAAAACTGTCGGAACAAATATGGTTCGAAAGCGCGGAAAATCTGGGCACTATATGTCTGTCACTCTCTTTTATATTGCAATTGTGTATTTCCATATCGTTTTTACCTTCAGACCAAAAAGTTAATTTGACTTTAGTTTAGCGACGACCAATTAATGAACTATAACCAAAAACTGGAATGCGAACACCAATGAGCGAACACATTTGAGGCGATTTTCAGCCTGGAATGATTATTATTTGGTTATAACCAATGCATTTCCGCCGTCGCGGTTTTAACCAAAGTAGGGGAAGTTGTGATGTCACATATCAGCTGATTTGCTTTTGGTATTTACCACTTATAACCGATTATAACCCAGCTCTGGACTTGGGTTAATCTTTTGGTTACAGCTTTTTGATGTTATTGTTATTATTTTGGGAATTGATATTGGTATTTTTGTGATTTTGCAGTTGTGTTGACGTTGTGGCCTAGCACAATGGAAGAAGTATACACTCACTCACTCACTGCAACTCGCCATGTTTAGATCATCCCCAAAGAAAATCTGTTCGATAAACGAGACTAGCGAGAGATTCCGCTCCATTTTTTCTACCTAAACAACAAACCATTGTTGAAACGAAAAAACAAATAGGAATGATAAACATAATCCTACACTGCTATAACCAAATCATTTCAGCGGTCAGTTCCTTGGGTTATGATTCTTGAGTGGTGGGGGGCTGTGACGTCACACCTGGCTGTCAAAGTTGTCAACCAAAAGAATAACCACGGTATTTACCGATAAATAATCATTCCAGGCTGAAAATCGCCCATGGGAACGTGAGGCCTAGTGCGGCTGCTGCGGAGGGGATACCTGTTTCTGTCGCACTCATTATAGCCGATTAAACGCGATGGAATATTAATAACCTAGTTAAAAATGGTATTACCATTCACGTAAACGCGGTTTTGGTTATTTTTGATCATTCGGTAGTGACGTCATCATTTGGCCCTTTGTGACGTATTGAATCAGCTGTTTTTATCTTTGGTTCAACCATTTTTAACCTACCTCTGGAGCTAGGTTATTATGTTCTGTCCTTGTCTGAAAAAGTAAATAAAGGAGAAATACCCGAAATGGCGGATTTTGACGGGTTTTTCGTTCTTCGTTGTTCTGTTGTGTTTTGTATGTTGTGTTTTTTTGTGCAACTCCAAAAAATGTACTTCGAACTGATCGAAAAATCAATCTTTGAAGATTTGATCTAGGTTAACACAAAACTAAACACTAAAACTTCACCAAATAATAAACATAATAATAATGTACTGTACTTTAGGTGAAAATTTAACAAAAAACAATCACAAGACAGAACAGAACGGAATAAACAAAAAAATTGGGGTTAACGGAATAACCATAGCATAAACGCGAGCTCTCAGGTTAATCAAAAAGGGTCGACAATCGCTGTTTCAAAGATAACCAAAGGACTGACCAAAGATATAACCGCGGTTAACAATATTCCATCGCGTTTAATCGGCTTATGTTAAATGGCGAAAATTGCTTACAACACGTATTCCAATTGATGAAACCTGTGAAGGGAAATATGACAAAACTTTCGAAAACGTCATATGTCAGCGAGCAACAGAAAAAGACAACATTCTCCCTTGTGACATCTGTCTTTCATGGCTTTATTTTTTTGGCAGATATGGCGTGTGCGCATTCCAGTTTTTAGTATAGTTCATTGGCGACGACAGCCTTATGTCTCGGGATTTCTACATTCAGGGGCCTTATTCTGTAAGAAACGAACCTTTCGATTCGGTAGAGTTTCTTCGATTGTGACGTCATTTTCAGTTTGGTAGCGCGAAAACCAAACCAAAAATGACGTCACAATCGAAGAAATTCTACCGAATCGAACGGTTCGTTCTTACAGAATAAGGCCCCAGGGCCCGGATTCCGAAGCCTCGATTCGATAGTATCGTCTATGTAAATATAGATGGACGATACTATCGAATCGTGAGTTCGGAATCCGGGCCCTGGCCTCTATCGATCATTCAAACCGAGCTGCTTTCCAGTGCCTAAATTGTAAGAGTATTATGCTTCTGGAGTGTGATGCTATTAAACTGTTCGACATAAGCAGTACTGGAACGCTCTCGTGTGCGAAGAATAAGAAACCATCAAAACCGAACTCAATTTTCTTAACCCATTTGTCTTAACCCCCACCATTTCGGACTTTCGGAGCATGAAACACCGAAATATAGGTAGTTGCACGAAGGGGCAGGGAATAACAGAAAGTACTTCTAGTGTATGACACTCTAAGCACTGGAACGCGCAAAGTAATTCTTGAGCACTCCTGAGCTGCTCAGGAGTTAGGGTGGATTTTCATGCATCCGTTTGTCCGACGAAATATGTCCGAAAAACATTCTATTCTGACATAATCGTATAAAAAAATGTCAAAATAGAAGATTTTTCGGACATATTTCGTCGGACAAACGGATGCATGAAAATCCACCCTAACTCAAGTGGGTCACTGGAAAGCACCTCTGTTTCGTGTGGCACGTGACCACATTGAAAGTAAAAATAATCTAAAAATTCGTATATTTTTGAAATTTTGCCGTCTTGCCCTCCTTAATTCTTTAAAATATTGTCTATAATCGAAATATAATTCATTTCCTAGGATATGTAAACTAGGGTCAAAATACCCTCGTATTGTGCCTTTGTTGGATGTAAAAAAAAAGCCGCCGAATATACAATATGAACGTAAATTAAACTATTGAACAGCAAATCAAACAAAAATGTAACTAAAGCACCGGAAAAATATCAGAAAAAGAAAGCATGCCATTCCAAATCTTCCAAATCCATATAAACAAATGGGATAAGTATAGGTTGCTTTACCTCCAGTGTCAATTTAGTGACGTCACGTGCATGAAACCAATTGACCGCGACAGTTTTTGCCCCCAGTGCAACCAGTTCCATACCTGCGCCTGGAGGCTGGGCAAGTCCAGTGCAATTTGGATTATTTTTCTTTATTTTTTTCGTATCAACCAACAACCAATGCTCGAATCTCGAATGGAAATTTGTATTTCGTCGGGATTAAACCAGTGCATGGTTTCAATTTGAATGATAACAACTAACAGCATTGATGAGTCGCTAGTCGCTTTCCAGTGACACACTTTAAGCACCCCTGAGTTGCTCTAGAGCGCCCCAGGCTGTTTATAGGGGCTCCATTGCATTAGAGTTTCGCGCACCTGAACTGTTCATTTTTCCTCTCCTTTGCCCTCTCAAGCACCAGCAATTTTATGGGAGCATCAAAAACCCGACGCTTGAAGTAGGGTGCGTTCCAGTGAAGCAACAGTTGTTTGGAGCACCAGAGTCTGATGCAACGGGTGTGAAGCACCTTAAAATTCGTCACTTTAAAGCAGCTCTGGTCTCCTGTTCTAAGAATGGTCACTCAGTTCTGCTTGGAGCAGTTCGAGCAGATACAATTGGAAACTGCTAGATCGAACAAGTGGGGCATTGACGTATCCCTTAACCAAACTTTATTTTGAATATCAATTAAGTAAACAACAACAATTTAGTTTTTAAATCAAGAATGGACAAAATCGATGATTATTTAAGCAAAAAAACTGAATTTCTAACACTACTAGAACAAGACATCGATAAAAATAAAATCATACACTCACAAATCGAAGAAAAAATAAAATCATTAGAGAAAACTCGTGAAAATATCAAAAGTTTACACCAACAACCTGAACACATAGCTTTGATACCTTTATGCAAAAAGCTCTATGTACCAGGAACATTAGTCCATACAGGAGAATATATGGTAACAAAAAAAGCTCATCCAAACTCTTATTCAGTATTAAAAACTCTAGAACAAACAGTCAAAGACTTGGACGAGCAAATCCTAGAACAAAGAGGTTTGTTTGAAAAAGGTAGCCTGGCAGTAAGTCAGCTGGTTGATAGGAAAAAACTGTTGCTGGGAGAGCAAGATGAAGATGTGATAGTAGAGAAATTGATTGTAAATGATGAGGAATATCATTTAGCTGAGGAGGTTGCGAAAATGCCTAATGAAATTAAGTCGGACAAAGGAGTTGCTGTTAAAGTGGGACAGTTCTTTGAGATTTTTGAGTATGAAGAAGAAGGAAGATAGTTTTTAGAATAAATCAATTTTCAAAGCATCTGTGCCTTTTTATACTACTTTTCCCTATTTTGGTTTAGTTTTATCACTATGCAAAATATGTCTGGAAGGCTGTAAAATTTTGATAAAAGTTACCTCAAACAAAGTTTACAGAATTAAAATATAAGTTGCCCCACTGGATGTTGGCACTTTGAAATTCGCATATCAAAAGCGTGCTGCCTAGACGCCGGCGCCTGTCTGTCTTGTGGTTTTACAGGGGGTCTTAGTATAAATAATTAATTAAAGCGTTCAGTCAAATAATAAATAAAAAATGTTTCACTCTATAACACAACTATAAACTGCTACGATGCATGGAGTTCGAGCCACTGTGTATGTGCCAGAGACCCGAACGGTACCCAATGTCCCAGCCGCAATGGGACGTAAGGAATAGGTAAATCTGGTCATGTGATCGAGTGCGGTAACTTATATTTTAATTCTGTAAACTTTGCCTCAAAGGTGTTTCGATAGAAAACACATATTACCACATAAGGAAATACTTAATAAACCATCCCAATTATCCAATTTTTATACACTTCCTTAATTTTTCCACTGCTAAAATGCGTACGGAAATAATTTAAACTGCTAGAAAAAATTGGACTTTTCAAATACATAAACATACCTAGAAACGATAGACTTGTCTTGTTTTCAATTAAGATTAGCTGATCTTCCTCAGTTAAAAGAGTTTCTAGAAAAATAGTCTTGCTTGGAAAGCCCCAACTTTTCCTATTTTGTCTTATTTTCAAGTTAGCAAAATTAAGTCAAAATTATGAAAATGAAAAGAAAAGACAATATAAATTTTAAATGGTATATTTTTGTATATTAACGATACAAAAACTTTGGGACGGAATTGTCATAAAAATCAGATCACTTTATAGGTTCAACAATAATATAAAAAAAGCTTAAACATAAGTACAATACAAACAAATGTACAAAAAATTATATAAAATTAATTTGTAGCTGTCAATTTAAAAATAACTCTTATTAAATGCACTCATGAGCCCCAATCCTTATAAAATAGCTACCTATCTAACCAATATGATGGTTCAAAAAGGCACTTTTCAAGCTAGCATTTTATCAAAAGCAGTCTTTTCTGTACTTAAATACTAATGAACAGCTAAATAAGTTTATTGTGCGCCAAAAAAAAGCATTTTTCTTTGTGCTCACACGCTCAACACCTAAATAAAACTTAAAACTTGGTCTTCTCCACTGAATCAGATCTATCAGAAGCCCCGTGAGATTCTAAAGATTGTTGTGCCCCACTCAAACTCGACATAGTATATTTACTGACACTGCTAGGCAAAAAAGATTGACTGGGGCCTTCTCCCAAGGCTATGGGGGCAGTAGATGGAGTCACTGTTGATTTCGTGGTCAAACTGATCCGACTGGCATCGTCGAGACTGTGCTGTGGGGCGTCGTAGGCCGGGAGCCCGCTAGAGACGCGGCTGTGGAGGCGTTGAGGGATTGCATGGTGCCCATCTAGATTTATTTCATTATAATTATGCATTAAGTATGTACATGTATGTTCAAATTTTTTTGAAAGAACCTTCCCCTCTTTGTATAGAAACTGGTTTTTCATTGGTGATTGGAAATCAAGACCTTTCTACCTTGCGTTCGGTATTTTGCTCGAAGAGCAGAGCGTGCAGAGCGGAGCCGTAACCACGTGACCAGCGAGCGAACAGAGCAGTTGAACGCTGTATAAAAGTGCCAGAAATTTTAATAAACGAACGCGAATGAGGATACACCGAGTACACTTTTTGAATAAACGAACGGTAAAGTCAAGCTCGGAGAACTCAGACCAAAATAACAAACGCACGGCTAGTATTCAATGCAGAATTTGTTGCTAAAGTGTGTCAGAGAGAGAAAAATGCTCTTACTTATCTTAATGTTGTAATGTGATTGTTCAAATACAAAACAAAATTAACAAATTTTGCTGATTTTTCCTCTGTTAAATAAAGATGTTTAGTAAAAGATCAAACTATGTCTGTGAATAATTTCAATGGTACCAACTCACATTAAATGATTTTGAAATTGAGTACATAACTTGACCAGTTTTTACACGAAAATGCAAGCTCCTTTAATGATGATAATAATCTTACCAAAATCATATCCAAATGGCTAAAGTGTGCAAGAAAATAATACAAAAAGAATGAGCTAATGAAATAATTTGTCATAAATAGGTACATACTTATTTGTTGTTCCTTTTTATACGTTATAGAGAAATTTTAAACAGCATTTCAATAAAACATTTTTATGAAAAAAGAAGATAGAAGATTCTTACCCTTAAATGAGCCAAATCTTCCAACTTAGTCAAATCAGTCAATTCAATGTATAAGGAATACACCAAAACCCATCCGTAAAGTGAGCAAATCATAAAAAATGTCCATAAAAGGCACATTAAAATATTGTAAGCGAAAATCATGTCGTTGACTATGGAGAAAAATAAAAATGCTAAAAATCTGAACATTGCAAATATGGCAAAGGCATAAATCCAGGGAAGCATTTTCTTTTCATATTCCTACAAGAAAGCATTTTCATTGATTAATAATAATTCACACAGAGTTAAAAATTATTACCTTGCGTAATGCAATAATCAACATGATACTGGTAACAAAAACTCCTATGGCTAATAGTATTGAGAATACTGCAAACATCACCAAAGTATTCCTCACTAAAAATTAAAATTTGCATTAGGTATTTTTTTAAAATGCATGGAAGCAATGTTTACCATGTCTCGAACCCACATACACAAACTCATAAGATATCACATAATAGCCATAATGTGTGCTTCCTGGGGCTGCCATCCCATAACAGTATAAGTCAAATAGGCCTGTTATTATTGTGAAAATTGAGAGCAACTGAAAATGAAGAGAAATGTTAATTTATACCTACATTTCAATTTGGGATAACTTTTTTTTTCCTTTATTTCAACATGATAGTTAAACAATAGATGTATGTACTTAAACTAGAGACCCTGGGTCATTCAGTATCATATAATATATAACATTATTACAACATACCATATTATTATACGTTATACAATATCACACCAGAGAAAATATCCAGTACAAATAGGTACTGCATCACAAAGTTGTTGCATTTATGAATATATTAGTTCTGAATTGCAGATAAAGTATCCATCGAAGCAAGTTATGTTCAATCTTTTAACAGATTCTGGAATTCGATTGTAGTACCTTAGTCCTTTTGACAAGATGCAGCGTTGGTCAGTTGTAATGTTCATTGCTGACGTTCTTAAGTTTTCATTGAGTCTGGTATTGTGGTGATGGATTGTGTTGGCTGAGATGAGCCTTGTAGAGTGAATATTGGAAGTCTTGCAAGAATGGATGAGAATGCATGATTGCAAGATAAACAGGGAGTGAATGTCCAGGATACCATTCGGATAATATAAGTCTTTTGTTGGAAACAGAAATGGCAGCTTAAACAATTTTTTTATACCACTATTTTGGAGAGCTGACAATGGATGCAGTTTGATAAGGGTATCATTGCCCCATAGCTGAGTTAGATATGATATGTGAGAATGGATAAGGGAATTGTATATCATCTTTCGACGGGTAATGGACAGTTAGTCCGATATTCAACCAAATATTCCAATTGCTGGTATTTTCTTTTTACATATATGCGAGATGTGCATATCTCAAGTAAGTTTTGAATCCACAAAGAGTCCCAGGTACCTATTCGATGCAGTTTGCACAAGTCAATGAAAGCCTTGAAAGTTTATCATGAAGTCAGGCCAGGACTCAAACTTTGATATTACCATATAACTTGATTTTTTTATATTTAAACTAAGTTTGTGGTAACAGAGCCAATCACTTATTTTCTGTAAGTCTTCTTCATTGATGATTTTTAAGTTAGCAGGGTCCTAGTCAAAATAAGTGATGACCATCTGCATATAAATTGAGAGAACCCTGAGGAGGTATGTGAGTGAGTTCATGTACACTAGGAAGAGTATTGGTCCCAGAATTAAACCTTGGGGCACTCTGTGTATCTTCTCATTTAACATACTGTAGTCTGCCTGATAGATAATTCATAAATATCTGTAATTAGGTCTGTAGTTGTTGAGGAGGTATTGCTGTGTTTTCTGAATCCATTTTGACCCGCATATCAAAAATTCATTCCATCCAAATAACTGGGTAATCTCGTATTTACACAGGTCTCCAATACCTTAGACAAGGAAATGGGCCTGTAGTTGTTTAGTTCTGTGCTATCACCATCCTTAACAAAGGGACAACCTTTGCCATTTTAAGCAGACTGGGTACAGATGCAGTATTAAAAACAAGATTACATAAAGTAGGTGATATTTCATTTTCCAATTCCTTGATTGTATCAATGCCTAAGCTGTCAGTTCCAGGTGATTTTCCTGGTTTTAATTTGTTTATAACGGCAGTGACCTCCTCTGTAGTCACAGGGTCCCATTGATTTATATAGGCAGTAGAAGTTGGTAGGAGTTGAGGGGAAAACATTGTTGGGGGATGTTTTTTGCTAGTTCTGCAGTAATTCCGGAAAAGTATTGACTTAGTAAGTTGGCAACATCCGATGGGTTCTTCACCGTGTGCCCTTCATGTACTAACCAGTGTGCCCTTCATGTACTAACTTGCGTAGCAAGCGGTCTTTCCTGGGTTTGGAGTTGTTGATTATAGTGTTGTTCTTCATATATGTTTAACATCATTCTCTGCTTTACTAATTTTGGCATTATAATAAGCTTTTTTTTGAGTCCATTAGTGATTTTCTATATTCTTTTTGGGTTGATTTGTAAAGTTCAAGTAAATAAGCACTGTGTGGAAATATTTTATGTCATTGATAGTGATGTCCCACATCAATTCAAAGTGTCTCACATTATACAACGGGGCACTTTTAGAACGAAATCTATTTCTATAGTGTCTATGTCATCTCAATATTTTAATGGATTTATATGAAAGCGCTGAACAGACAATTAGGTATCGGTAATAATTGTTACTTAGAACTGATACTTAGGTATAATAATTGTTACCGTACCTACCGACAATAAGGTATAACTGTTACTTACAACTTAACCCTAACCCAACAAACCGAAATGTAAATGAAAACAATACAAACAATAAAAACAACAATTCTGATATTATCACTACGCATCAGCTTAATACGGCAATAATGAACATACAAACGGCGTCCAAGGTACAGGAAATCCAAAGCTTAGGAGAGTACGATACCATAAACAGCTCCAACAAGGGTGAATGGCAAACGATTAATCGCAAAAAAAGAAGATTCGTTGTTGGTCGGCATACCACCATGAGCAACATACAAACCATCCCAAAAAATTTATCACTTCATGTGTCTCGGCTATCGCCAAATACGAAACCTGAAGAACTCCAAAAAGCACTAGAACAAGACTTTCCAGGAGTGCAATGTGAAGTACATCCCTCAAAATTGCAGCAGCTCTACGCTTCTATGAAGGTTACTGTGCCACAAGATAGATTAAGGGATATCTGGCAGAGAGGTGTATGGCCAAATGGTGCAATTGTCTCGCACTTTTTTTCCAAAAGGAGGATACCATCGCAGCAGTTGGATCCTCAAAACTAAAGGACACTAACAAGACTCTAGACAAATTATATCAAAATGTTAGGGGATTGAGAACCAAAACATTGCAGCTTTTTTGGACTTTTTTTATTCACGTAAGTATTAATCAATTGCCAACGTTTCGACACGGATGCGTGTCAGGGCTAGATTAGTAATTGTGGTGATTGTTTTTTGAAATTAAAAAACATAAAAAATACATAATTCCAACGGATATATCAAAATTCAAACCAGCCGTGCAATGGTAACAAGCTACAAATTGATACTGATTATTATTATTATTATTACTTAGAACTGACACAATTAGGTATAAGCGCCAGTGGTCACAATTGTGACTAAATTGTCAGTTGCAACTGACAAGTCAGCTCTAAGTGACAATTATACCTTAAATGTCAGTTCGAAGTGACAATTATACCTAATTGTTAGCTCCAAGTGTCAATAATTATGGCTAATTGTCAATTCTAAGTAACAATTTTGCCTTATTGTCAGTTCTAAGTAACAATTATACCTAATTGGCAGTTCTTATAAAGTAAAAATTATACCTAAGTGTCAGTTTCAATCAATTGACGTACTTAAATTTAAGAATCAAATATACCTAGTAGTCCTGAATTTGTTCTTAACTCTGTTCTTAAGCTAACTGAAATCAGAAAATTGTTCTTAATGATTGGACTAATGAGTCATTTCTAGTTAACGAACATCATTTTTCTGTTCTGACTTACCAACGAAAAAATCGCAGTTATCATCGAGGCTCGTTGTATATCGAGAAAAACGGCATCCTGCACTATGGGTTTTCGGTACCAAGGGATTTTTAAGGATTTCAAACTTCGGCTACTCCTCAAATTAGCACTGCTCCTTGTAGTTACATGGGAATAAACACTCGGGGTGCCCGTTATGGATCTAGTACCTGCCATGTCGTGTTTTTTATACATGTAGGTGAATACTGAACGATAGTTTTATTTATAATTTTATTGAATAATAATAATTTAATTTTGATATTTATAAACGAATTTTTGACAAAATAAACAAAAAGTGAGGTGTGGTTTTTGTCAATCAAAAGTGAAGTGTTTTGTCTGACAATTGACAGTCATGAGTTGCACTTCATGCATCCGTTTCCCGACGAAATATGTCCGAAAAATCTTCTATTTTGACATATTTTTATACGATAATGTCAGAATAGAATGTTTTTCGGACATCTTTTGTCGGACAAACGGATGCATGAAAATCCACCCTAAAGCCTAGTCTCCATAGACGCGAAATCGCGGAAAGCGAATTTTTTAAGTGTCATTTTTTGGTGGCTATTTCCGAGCAAATTATTCCCATGTCTCCATAAGCGCGAAATTCGCGTTTTATTTAACAGGTTAAGGTTACCTATGTGTTGTTGTTTGTAATCAATTTGAATTCGATTTAAATGCTTTGAATTTCAAACACTAATCTTTGAAAACCATGAAAGTGATTACTAAAAAACAAAAAAAGATATGTGTCTTGGTGTTGTCTTAATTACATTTAAGGCCCTATTATAATCTTCCTCATCAACCAGCAAGCTGTAATTTATGTCTGTTTTCGGGTCTACAATATTCAATTCTTTGGCAGTATCCATTCTTTATTAGGTATCTACAAGTACAAAACACATCAACGACTCACAGAGAACAGAGCACATACCGACAAAAACATAAACAAAACTAAACTGAAAGTAACACCACATAACCTCATTTTTTTTTGGCGAAATTTCGCGGAAAGTTAAAAAATAGTTAACTTTTTTGCGACGCCGCAAGAAGTTAAAAAATTCGCGAATTTTTCCCGCCATAAAAAAATCAAATGTTAAATGTCAAATTCCAACCAATCGGAAAATATCCGCAAAAAAAAATTCGCGATTTCGCGTCCATGGAGACTAGGCTTTAAGCCTACTACTCATAACTGCGAAATTCGCATTTTTTTGACATTGCTTCGACAATTTGACGTTTTATACACGCATAAAACGTCAATTTGTCAACGCAATGTCAAAAAAATGCGAATTTCGCAGTTATGAGTACTAGGCTTTATTCATAGAGAGGACTTATCGATAATTCATAAGCTATCGATACGATATTCTTTCAATGACAATTTTCTTCATATCGATATTTCTGATTTCTCTTTTTTTGACTGCTTGAAAAAAACTGAGGGTACTGCTCGATCTTTTCATAATTTATTATCAAGAAATTATTTTATAATAGAGAGTTATTGGACGTGCAATAAGGACAAGCAGTATTTAAATTAGCCTTATTTTGACATCTACGCATGGGCATTTGGGTCCGAAAATAAGGGTTCCCTTAATAAGGTTACTGCTTGTCTTTATTTGTGTATGGTTAGTGCGAGGCAGTAAACTTCCCTTATTTCAAATTTCTGACATTTTCGACTACTTTGACGTTTTGCTTTTCGACGATGACGTAATTTTACTTAAAAAATTTATTTTTTACAATAGTTTTCCATTTTACTGTGGGTAACATCAAAAAATCAGTATCAGCAGAAAATCACAAACAAAAAAAATACTTTTTGAGGCTGAAATTTATAAATATAGCTATCATCTGTCAAAATTATGAATACAAAATAATACTCTAGCACCTACTACAGTCTTCCAATAACTGTTTTTTCCTTGGAAAAATAGTGCTGATACACTAATAAAATAACGTAGATCCTTAATACTGCGAGGCAGTATCTAATAGTTCCAATAACTCTCTAATGATTAAAATAATGAAAAGTCGTGTTGACAAATAACATTCATCGAAAAACCTCGTTCAAAACAATAGTTGTATTCCTTTCAGAACATTAGAGCTACTAGCTCCGGTGTAAGTTGACCCCGGTTTTAAAGGAATAGATGCGCTGGCTTTCGTGCTTTTGAATGGTTTGAGTCGGGCTTCAGCACTTCAGGTGCAAGAAACACTTTTCGAAAGGAATAAGCGCGTAACGCCCAGGAGCTACAGTGACTGGAGCATAGAGGCACTGTAACTGGAGCTGTTCCAAAGCTCCTCCTAGGTGAAAGTAATAAAACTATACACTGTTTTTGTTTAACGAATGACATAGGTTGTATTTCTTTCACACCTAGGTGGAGCTACGGAACAGCTCCGGGTACAGTGCCTTAATAAACCTTTACATACAGTGGCGACAATAGAGGCCCCGCCGCCATTTTGTTCCCAACCTCTTATTACTCTTAAATATTAATATATAGGATTTAAATAGACATCTATCATAAAAAATTGAAATCGACGTATTTGATGACTATTATTAGGACCATCAAATACGTTGTTTTCCATGGTTTATGATGGATGCTTACCCAAATCCCATATATTCATATTTGAAATAAGCAATAGGTGGGAACAAGATGGCCGCGTTTCCCATATAAATATATGGGATTTTAGAACCAATCAAAAATAAGACAGCAATTGTCGCCACTGTGGATAATAAGAGTCACTGTAGCTCCGGGGCTTCACGCGCTTATTCCTTTCGAAAAGTGTTTGTTGCACCACGCATTTGTTCCCTGCAAATCGAGGGCGCCGAAACACCGGAGCGAGCTGCTCGAGTGTTTCAAACTCTTGAAAGGAATACAACTATAAGATGATGGTTATTTTTATTGATACATATCAATATAACCAGTTAGTATCGAATGCGCCATTCATCGAGGGCGTATCGATGTATATAACCAACGATATCGATAAGTCTTCCTCTATGACACTACATTTGTCATAAAACAAATTTGAAGTGTTAACGAACTGTCACCCAGTTAAAAGGAAAAGATGGCGGCCATCCTAAAATTATCCCAGTCCCTAGGAAAATTACCAAAAAATACCAATTTAATCAAGGTAATAGGCCTCAAAATGCTTTTATTCTCCATCCAGTAGCACTAGTTAATCAATTTCTATCCATATAAACCACCGTTCAAGGCATAATATGTAACCAAATTATGTAACAAAAATTCTAACCCCTTAACCCAGGGATTCAACATCCAAATTCACTTTTTCTTATTTTAGGCCCTTAGGAAGGCATCTGGTGTCGCTGCCGAAGCTAAACAAATTTCCTTGAATGTACCGCCAACGAAAGTAACTACCCTTAGCAATGGTAAGTGCGAATAGTTTGTTCTCGAGTTTATGTAATTGGTCAATTATTATTGTTAAATCCCAAAAAAAATGGTGATAAGAACTACTTGAGAATGGTAGATCAATCCGTAATGGCTAATGTTAACATTTCACTTCAAATTCGAGATTGTTTTTGATCAATACCATTATTCCAGAATTTTTACTAGCTAGGGCAAGTTTATTCACCTCCTGTTAAACTGTCAGGTATGCAATCGGATAAAAACGCAATCTGTAATCCTAGTGATTGGCCAGTTATCAGAGGATTAATATTAGAATTAATTTATCTTGCATATAGTTACCAGCAAGTTGATCTGAAGATGAATAAACTGGGCCTTAGTATATTCATTGTATATTATTCCTGGATAGATCAGGAATGGCTTGACAAACATTCTTCATTCCTTATTCAAATAGAATGGTTTTGAAACAGTAAAGTTCACAGTGACAACACAGTTGATAAACTTTGCGAAGTTATAGTTCAGGGCTTTGAGGAGGGGAAGTTTTTTTCATATAAAATTCTTATAGCCAAAATCTGTTGAACAACACCAAACAGTTGTTTTCCTATGTTATCTCTTGTGTTGTTGACAAAGCAATTTTAGTCCCATTAGAATTCGACCAGGAGATTGCAGAGTGTTTTGCATAGTAATTCCAGAGTGTATCTACTAAACTCAGCCCTACAGATATTAGACCAACATTTCCAGTTGAATCGTACTTCATAAAAGAAATCAACACGATAAATTTCACCCCAGAAAAAGTATAAATCGCCTTCAAGTCCCTAAGGGTGAATTCCAGCCCTGAACTTACTGTTTGCACACTCTAAAAGAACCTCTGGCAGCACTTACGAATGACATAATATCCACAGGAGATTTTCTACTACCTTGGAAAAAAGCAGTTCAGAATCAGAATCAGAAAAAGCTTTATTATCAAAGATAGAAATCTTATTGACAAAGCAGTCTTATATCTACATAATCAAATAAAATAAAATTAAAAGTAAAGTATTACTAATTTACACTAAATATGTGATTCATAAGGTATGTAAAATTAAAAATTAAATATAAATACACAAAAATACAACTATAAACAAAATAAAATAAAATAAAATAAAATAAAATAAAATAAAATAAAATAATATAAAATAATATAAAACATCAACATCATTACATATAAACTAACAATCGACATTCAACTAGCTGCGTAAAACTCTTCTAAAGTGTAAAAACAATTCTCCAAAAGATAGTCTTTCACGTTTTTTCGGAAGGCATTAAAATTATCAAGTTCTCTCAATTGTAAAGGTAGATTATTGAATATTTTACGGCTTTCATATATTAAGGATTTTTTTATCATTGTTGAAGAGGGTATCGGAAGATGGACAACCTGTGTCTGTCTAGTTCTGTAGTTATGCTGGAAATTGTAGCTATCCCTATATCTATTTTTGAATATCAAACAAACTGATTCCAATATATACAGAGATGTTAGGGTAAGCAATCTGTAGTCCCTGAAATAAGGCCTGCAGGAATCATTCCGTCTTAGCTGAAACATTGATCTGATAGCTCTTTTCTGGAAGCAGAAGACGGACTGAAACAGGCCATCACCGCACGCACCCCAGAATGCTATCCCATAGCGCAGATGAGACTCTACCAGGGCATAATAAACATCCCTCGCTACCCCCACGCCAAGCTCCCTCCGGACAACCCTAACGGCAAAGCATCCCGACGCAACCTTTTTTTTCAGTTGACTTGTATGTGCTTCAAAGTTCAGTTTTTCATCGATGAAAATTCCCAAAAATTTGGTGTGTTTTTCCTGCTGTAATGGATTATTGGCAAGCATTAACCCTTCCATCGTACATTTGAATCCTATGATTTTACTTTTATCTATGTTCAGAGCAAGCTTGTTTGCATCAAACCAGCGCTTTATAAGATCAAGTCCAGATAATACCATCCCCCTAAGATTCCCAACATTATGACAGTGCCACAGACAGGTGACATCGTCAGCAAAAACAGACATCTCTGCATTTACATTAATTTGACATAAATCATTCACATATATGAGGAACAGTAGAGGGCCAAGCACTGATCCCTGAGCAATGCCACAGGTAATATCTCCGGACCGGGAGTATTGACCGCCCAGAAAGACTCTCTGAGATCTGCCCTGAAGGAAGGACATTATCCACTCAAGAGCCTGTCCCCTGAAGCCATAGCATTGAAGCTTCAGCCGCAAGATTCTGTGACTAACGCAGTCAAACGCCTTGGATAAGTCACAGAAAACTGCGGCTGCCGCCTCTCCACTATTTAGGGACGCGTAAGCGTTTTCAAGGAACCCAAAAATTGCATCATTGGTGCCCTTCCCCTCCTGAAAGCCAAATTGGTTTGGGCTGAGGATATTATTCTCCACTAAGAAGGCCATAATTCTTTTCTTTGCGAGTTTTTCAATGATCTTTGATAATGTGGAGAGCAGTGAAATGGGTCTGTAATTGGATTCCTTATTTGTTTCGCCACCTTTGTGGACTGTTGTTATACATATATTCAACAAAGGTAGCAAAAAGCTAGTAGAAAACTACAGACTAGTCAGCCTGACCAGCGCCCTAAGTAGATTTATGGAAAAAATCATTGCTAAAGAAGTTTTTTTTCTCGAAGCTCATATTGTACCACCCCAACAACATGGTTTTCTCCCCAAAAAATCTACTCTCACGAACCTAGTAACCAGACTTAACTCAATATTGATCCAGTACGCTTAATCCAATCAAAATCACATTGTGCAGCTGACATCCAACAGCAAATCATAATTCAACCATTTCTCGGCGGCATTCGGTAGTGCCCCACTGCTACACTTAGTTCAAATAGTATAATTGTGTAACAAATGGGATCCTAACCTATTATGGCGAACGGCTTCCCCAGGGGACACCAATAGGGAATTTTCATATTTCTCAAATTATTTTTTTTTAGATACTTCTAGTGATCAGTTATTACATAGTTTTCTTTTTTTCTATTTTAATTTATACGTTGTACGAAAAAAAAAATTATTGAAATTCAAATCGAAAACTTTGGCGCGAAAACACGAAATCTCAATATGACAGCGCTTGTGACGTTAAGATTTTGTAAACAACAAATACCCTGCAAACGAACTCCTGCTGACGCAGTGCTATTTTTGTGTTATTCAAGTGTGTTGAAGTTTGCTTTTCGTGAATTGTCGCAATGGATGAAGAATATTGTAAAGGACTGCTTTTGTAAGTTTTTTTTACTTGCAAGTTCCCTATTGACAGGTTTGTTTACAGAATCGTGACATCAAAAAAGGTAGCCATCATAGAAGCATTGTTTTGGCGGGAAATTTTTATTTTAAATTTAGTATTACTTTTTGTTTAACAAGGGCGGTATCAGTTGAATAAAAACTGGTCATATAAATATTATGCAGTATAAACTATCGATTCAAAACAAATTTGGAAAATTTTAGTTCACATGCAAGTTCCCTATTACCAAAAAGAAATAATCAAACCACAAATTGTCCTGGATGTCAGCGAAACGCAACTTCAATTGGTAAAAAATGATAATCATTTAAATGGGGAAGTTATCGAAAACATTTACAGCCAAAAGCTGAAAGCCCAATATTAAACTTGCTCAACTAGAAGTAGCTTACCAAAGTTCTAATTTCTGTACATATCACCCCTAAAAAAAACACAGAAGGTAAATTCCTTTGGAAAGTTTATAAGTGCATAAAGGGACTTTTCTAGGACCTGTGGTGTGACTGAAGGGCAGGATCAGAAGGCTATAAATAGTTGTTGGTACTTACGAAGTTTAATAATTTGTACACTAATCAATTATTAGAAAATTCGATCAAGAATGCTCACTAAACTCAAAATGCTTATATAATTCTTACTGAAATGCACGAAACATCAATTTCAAATCGAAAATGTGTTGAAAAACCTGGAATAATTCTGATTTTGAGATTTGAGAATGGTCATAATTCAAGCGGCAAAAATTGCCAAAACAATTACCATTATTTTTTTATGTAGGTACTAACTGTACTTATCATATGCGTCAGATATTAAAGTCTGTTTTTTTTAAAAAGATAATTCCCCAAGTCAAAAATTTAGTAACTATGTTGGCAACACAAGCCTTTTCTACATAAAAAATTTGAAAGCATTGGACAATTTTACATTGCATTGCCAACATAATGTCATATTGACTTTTATCTTTAAAAAAAAAACAGACTTTATGTAATGATATTACTATGTAGATATGTACTAAAATGATGAAATTTCAAAAAATTTTATGTTGATATTTTGTGTCCTAATGATCCTCTGGGATCTCTCAAACTCCATACACTTAATTATTCCAAGATATGAAGCCGAAATATAAGAAAAAAGGCACTCGGAAAATTGAAAAAAATTATAATTATACCCCAAATTGCTTAACGCGATTTTATTTCTGGAACTATAAGCCCAAATGAGCTGAAATTTTCAGGGATTGTAGTCCTCTATTGGGATAAGAATCGCTGAAAATTTCAGCTTCACATTTATAATAGAAAAACAGTTATGACCTTTCAAAGTTCCCAGAAATCTAAATCATAAGGAAGTTACTGAAATTTAAAAAAAAAAATTGTTGAGATTCTGTGTCCTAATGGTCCTTTGGGATCCTCCAAACTCCATACTAGGGATGTAAAATGACGGCCATTTATTTTTTGTGATAGGTGACAGTAATATTTTTGTCATTTATTGTCATTTATGGTCATTTATTTTCAATGTCGAACATAACCTCTGAACGTAACATAACTCAAATCAATAATCAGATATCAGATTGGTTGACTAAAGCTCTTCTTCAGTTTCACAGTTATCAGCATCAAAGTCATCTAATGAGTCAGAAAGTACAGCTTCCATCTTCTCCATTAGTTTGACAGTAAAAATCGGAAATCAACTGATATTTTTGTGACACTTTCATATATTTTAATGACGGCAATGACGGTCATATATTTTGATGACAGTCAGTTAATAACTTGACAGTCAGAAAATTCAATCGATAAAAAAATAAATGACAGGAGTGTCATAAAAATAAATGATGTGACCGTCATTTTCAATTTGACTGTGACATGACATTGTCAGGAAAATTGGCTTACATCCCTACTCCATACACTCAATTATTCTGTTATTTGGAACTGGAATCCATGAAAAAAGGCACTCAGAAGAATTGAAAAATTGATAAATCGCCCCAAATTGCTTAACGCGATTTTATTTCTGGAACTATAAGTCCAAATGAGAGCTGATATTTTAAGGGATTGTAGTCCTTCACTAGGATCGCTGAAAAATCGCGTTTTTTTTTCTTAAGTATCCTGGTAGTGCTATCTAGCTTGATATCAAGTTAGCACTACCAACGTCAGCCGATATTCCTACAGAAGAGAAAAAAGGGATAAATTTTTTTTTGCACGACAAAAAAGTAACATATTAAGTACTTAACGCCATTTTCTGGAGTACATGTGGTATTGCTAACTTGATAGACGTAAAATACCTGTATTATTTATAGCATAATTTATAAAAATAAGTATTGATTTGAGAGTTTCTCTCTTTCAGGAATTCGGGTTGCTACAGAAGACTGGGGTTCCCAAACCGCAACAGTAGGTATCTGGATTGATGCTGGTAGCCGCTACGAAAACTCCAAAAACAATGGGGTCGCCCACTTTATGGAGCACATGGCTTTCAAGGTAGGCTAAAAAATGTTCATCAAATACATATTAAGTCATTTTTGAATTGAATTGAATTGAATTGAATTTTATTTATGGTATAATCAACCAATCGTATTGTGATTTTTATCCAAAAAGAACATCAAAGACAATATAAATTGTTAAATTCCCCATATAAAATTTCACATTCATGGATTTTTTTTATAATGACGAAGACTTCCTTGTCATCAGTAAAGCTTAGAAAGAACCCTGCCCAAAGTATACTGAAAATGTGTTTATGTCAGGATTGGCGGAATTTTGTATATAATGTAGATCACGCCTTTCTGCTTAAAAGTTACCATTGCACCAATCCTGAAAAATGACTCTACGTAGCACACCATTGCGCCACAAGCTTACCTATTCTACACCTATTCGTGTTCCAATGAACGTCCATTACAATGTCCAAGCGCTTTACTTGCTATCTATGAAATTAATTTTCTCAAAAAGGAGTAATTTTTCAGGATTGGTGTAATGGTAACTTTTAAAAAGAAAATCGTGATCTACATTACAGTTCTGACATAAACACAATTTCCGTATACTTCGGGCAGGGTCCTTTGTGGTTGAAAACATTTTTGACATTGTTCAAGAAAAAATTGAAAAGGAGAGGGGAGAGATGCCGAGAGTAACCGAATCGGTTGACAGATGGTCACTGAAAATTTCGGTTACTTGGAGAAAGCAAATATGAAATAAAAATTATTGACAGAAATTGCAGATAAAACCAACAGAACCGACATCCGAGGGCCGGTAACTATTTTAACATTTGGTTAACCAGATTCCAGGAAACCGAGGTTCAAAAGTAACCACTTTTCCAGGAACCAGAGTAATTTGATTACTTTTGGACCGCGAAACCACAACCCTGGTTATATTCGGACCACAGCCTCAATCTCTAATGAGACAGTTTTCTATTTTTACTTTCTATTTTTTTCCTGAAAGGTGGTCAATTAGTCACCTTAAAAAGGCTCCATGAAATCCTATAGTTTATAGTTTCTAGAATTTTATGCCTAACTATATCAAAATCTTGGAGAAGTCGGTATACAGGGTGTTCCACAATCAGCCTTACAGGCCATAACTTTCTTATTTTTAAAAATAAAAATTTGAAACAAAAAAATTATTAATGGCTAATTAAGCTCTCTTCAAAAATATAAAAAAATCATCCCCTATTTACAACCCTTGACTTTTTTTTTTCAAAAATGGCACCCCTGTTTTTTTATTTTTGAGAAGCTCATGAAATTACAAATTTGTATGGTGTATAAAAAGTTTGTTTTTCCATGTCTCTCGGGGGAAAAAAAATGGGTGTCCCACCCTTAGTCTTATACAGGCAATCACATTTTTGTCTACAAAAATAAAAATATGACAAAAAAAATTAATTGTGTGCAAATTAACCCCTTTCCGAGAATATTAAAAAAATCTTCCCTAACAAACTCTCTCCCTAAAAACAACTCTTGCCATTTTTTTCAAATAGAACCCCATTATTATTTTCATTTTTGATTTTTTTTCCAACAAAACATGGAAAAACAAACTAGGGATGCCATTTGAAATAAAAAAGTAAAGGGTTGTAAATAGGGGATGATTTTGTCAGGGCAAGATTTTTTTATATTTTTGAAGAGAGCTTAACTAGCCATTGGTCAATTTTTTTTTTCAAATTTTTATTTCTAAAAATAAGAAAGTTATGGCCTGTAACGCTGATTGTGGGACACCCTGTATACTATACATGTTGTTCTGGTATAATTATGTTTTTTTCATGACAGCAACAGGAATATCATCTGGACCTGTTCCTAAGTTATCTTTCAGATTAGAAATCTCATTATATAAACTGCTGGAACTTAGATACACATTTTTTTTTCTAGGGTACTGGTAAACGTACTCAAAGCCAATTAGAACTTGAAATTGAAGATTTGGGCGCCCAACTTAACGCTTACACCAGCAGAGAACAAACAGTTTATTATTCGAAATGCCTATCGAAAGATGTACCAAAAGCTCTCGAAATTTTATCAGACATCATTCAAAATGCCAAGTTGGGAGAATCAGAAATTGAAAGAGAAAGAGGTGTTATCTTAAGAGAAATGCAAGAAGTCGAATCGAATCTTCAGGAAGTAGTTTTCGATCATTTGCACGCCATCGCCTATCAAGGCACTCCTTTGGCCAACACCATTTTAGGGCCCACAGCTAATATTCGATCAATTAGTTGCAATGATTTAAGGAGCTATTTGGATAACCATTATAAGGCTAGCAGAATTGTGGTTGCCGGAGCTGGGGGAGTTTGCCACGAGGATTTGGTTAAATTGGCTGAAGCTAACTTAGGACAACTCAGTAAGTTACAAAAAAAATCCACTTCTAGGAATATTGATTTTTTTAAATTGTTTTCAGATAACAACTATCCAGGCGAAGTACCAGTACTTAACCCATGCCGTTTCACTGGCTCAGAAATTCGTGTGCGAGACGACACTTTACCTTTGGCCCATGTTGCTTTAGCTGTTGAAGGTGCTGGATGGTCCGATCCTGACACTTTGACTCTTATGGTCGCTTCAACTTTATTAGGAGCCTGGGACAGGTAATATTATTATTATTATTATTTATCAGGAAAACTAAAACAAATTGGCACCTCCTTCAGATCTCAAGCATCTGCCAAACAAAACGCCACAAATTTGGCACGAGTGAGCGCAGAAGAGGACTTGTGTCACTCTTACCAAAGTTTCAACACTTGCTACAAAGACACTGGTCTGTGGGGCATTTACTTTGTGTCTGATGGTCTGAAAATCGCTGATATGATTTTCAATGTCCAAGAAGAATTTATGAGACTGTGCAACAGTGTCACCGAAGGCGAAGTTGAACGTGCCAAGGCCTTATTGACTGCCAACACTTTGTTGCAGTTGGACACTTCTACTGCTGTTTGTGAAGATGTTGGTCAGTAATAACGATTTGTGATATTTATATTAAATGTACTAAAATATATATTTTATCAGGTCGTCAATTGTTGTGCTATGGTAGAAGATTGCCTCCTCATGAATTGACTCACAGAATAAACTGCATTACTGCCCGTAACGTCAGGGACGTCATGTACAAATACTTGTATGATAGGTATGTATTTTTTTCCAAATTAAATTGTAGTTTTTAATACAAAAATTGTTTTTTCAGGTGTCCTGCTGTTGCTGCTGTTGGTCCAGTGGAGAACCTTCCTGACTACACTCAAATTCGTTCTTCTATGTACTGGATTCGTGTTTAAAAAATTAATGAAAAAATAACCGTTAAATAATTTATTGTTTGTGATCCTAGGTATTCTTATTCAGGCATGTGAGATGACAGTTGAAAATATTAAATTGCAAAATTCGATTAAGTGTTTTTAGAAAAACTTAAAAGTGAATAATGTCACACATTTAATGTAAATAAGTTTCTGTTGATTTTTATTAAATAAAACACATTTGTAAAAGTTTTCGTTTTAATCCAAATTGGGCAATAATAATTGTTTTGCAGGAGCATCTCAATGTAATAAATTTTTATAAAATTAAACTTTCCATCGAAGTACAGGGTGTTTCCTCATATTTTGACACCGATGGCTACTGTTTTGCTCAAGCCGAGGTTCCGGCACAGATGAATTTAGTTTTTTGGAACGATTTTGGAAAATATTTTATTTGGATATTATTTTCCCCATGGGAAATAATATGATTGGCCGACTTATTGATTGACCAGTCAGTTATAAAGGAATATAAAAAGTGGTCGGCAACACAGGAGAACGCCCCTCTGGGTGTCTTCAGTCTTCGTGTCGTCCAGTGCAATTTCTTCTTTGCAAAAGCTTCTCTGGATGGCCATTATCTTTAACGAATCGCTCCTAAAATAGCTTTGTTTTTCAGGTAGCTCCCCCTCTGTGCCCCTAAGAAAAGACACGATGCACCATATCCTTTGGTAATTACTATTAAAACCTTTATTTTACAATATACCTTAATCTAAATACCAAGCGAGTCTCTATTCTCCTGACCCTACGCTACCGCTACACACCTCGTCACGACAGGATAAAGTTGTGACAGTATTTTTACAACTTTTAGAGCTAAATATATTATTCCCCCAAATATAGGCAAACTAATTTTGGAATTAGGAATTTGTGCTCTCCAAGAATATGGGACCAAATAGCCAGTCCATTCAAAAAAAGTTAAAAGTATGCAAACTTCCACATTCCGACATTTAATTTCTGTTTCAGACACCAGCTTCCGAAAGTTCAGCTAAAACTAAACATTTTTTGTATTTACATCTTTCTTTTACCTGTTAAGGTAAAAGCTCTAGGTGGGTGTCAAAATATGAAGAAACACCCTGTACAAAATAAAACAACTAATTTCTGTAAGGTCTATTTATTACGAAAAGGAATTTAGATTATCAAATTCTCATAGTTGAGGACACACATTTTTTTTTTTTGTCATTATTACACATTTAGAATTAACTTAAAATCTATCAGAGGTGCTTCTAGGTCAGGTTTAGTCAAACACGTTTTACTTATATCAAAAAAATTTGACTGTTTTTACAAAATACTTTATTATCTATCTGGCTAAATCGATAGTCAGCACCTAAACCTAACCTATTGAGCAGTTAAATAAGTAATAATAAAAACGCGGAACAAACTTAAAAACTATAAGTATGGCAAAGCCGGTCAAATTTGGCTTTTTTTACACTTTAAAAATAATTACAAAACGAAAATTAAATGGAATGAGATAAAACCACCAGTCACTAGATTGTACGTACACATAATTAATAGCTTTGTTTTGGTTCGTATCAGAACTACCAGTTCAAGAACCAGTTGTACAATTAAAGTTTCAATCAATACTGATTTGAACCAAAAACAAAGCAATAATACTCATATAGAATCTGGTGATTAAAATATTTACTTTACATTAATAAAATCAAGACCGTCCCATACTGATAATTCCAGGCTACTAATTTCTCTTAAAAACTTATTAATAATTTATTGATTATTTTATTAAAAGGTTTACTCGTCATCTTCGCCTTCGCCATCTTCGTTTTCCTCGCCGTCTTCTTCTGAGGATTTTGGTTCCTCCTCTTTCCTCTTTGGTCGGCCACGACGTCCTTGAAAAACAAACATAAAAAAATTAAATCATGAAATCAATTATTTTGAAAAGCAATCAAGTATCAAAACATTTTAACACTTTCACGACCGCTATTATGAAATTTGACGATGCTCGAAACCCACCACATTTTTTTGGGTAGCATAACTTTTGACAGAAATTATATATTTTTTACAGGCTATATGTGTTTTGTTATATATTTTTTGTAATAACATTCAATGTCACATCGGTTTCCGATAAGTCTTCCATTAAAATTTACCAACTGTCACGAAGGCAAGCCGTGCGACACACATGTGTGACATAAACTGTTAGCTGTTCTAGACTCTCAGCTACGCTGTATAGGCGATAATTATTGTTCAATATCCAGTGAGTGTTACCTTGTAACGTCAAACTCTAGTAGGAGAGTCTATAAACAACAGAAATCCGCATTAGTTGGGAGACGATATGAACCACAGCTGCCACAAGCTTATGACTGAAACAGATTATCCAATCCAGAAACCATGCCACACAAATGTGTGCCAAACAGTCATAGAAACTGATGACAAAACACATGTGTCGCCGTTGAACCGCCCGGGAGTTATTTGCATTCAATCATTGTAGGGTCATTGTCACTCTGGTGTGACATTAGTTCCTGGCAAAAACTGCTTGTCACATATGGGTGACGCGTGGTCGTGAAAGTGTTAAGTGGGAAAAAAGAAAAATAACTTGCTATGGTATTAGAATGAATTTCGGACTATTAAAGGAACTGTCTGCAATATTTTTATTTGAATCCAAATCATGAGCATTTTGTCTTCAAGCATAGATTTATATCAACTCAAAGATCTTCTCACCATATGTAAATAAAATTATTTAAGAGTTTTTCAAATTTTGAATAGATTTACAGCCCAAGAAATTTCTGCATAAACGTCTAATCCTGACTTCTAGTGAAGTTCTCTTACATGCATAATGACATTATTCAAAATAGAGGCTATTATTTATTTTATATCCTACTGAACTATTAAAACCATTTAATACCTTGGTTACGATAATCATAAACAGGGTCTTAACTCCCAAGGGAGTTAAGGATTTTCATAACTCCCAAGGGAGTTAAGGAAGGGAGTTAAGGATATCATAACTCCCAAGGGAGTTAAGGATTTCCATAACTCCCGCTTTTACCTTGAATAGGTAACATTTTGACAAAAAATAGAAATTTTGATTTATGGCTTATTCCTTTATAAAAATAGACAGAATACAGTAAATTCAGTAGGATATAAAATTATCTATGTACCACGGGAATTATCAGGAGTTAATACCCACGAGCAATTGGTGTCCCTCGGGCCGGAGGCCCTCGGGACACAAACGTTGCCCTGGGGTATTAACACCTGCATAATTCCCTTGATACATAAATAACTATATTGTCAACACTAGATAGGATGAAAAATTTCTAGAAACTCATTGTTTGAAATTATACCTGGTCCTCCTTTGGCAGCTGGTTTAGCCTTGGCTGCAGCCTTCTTTTTGGTTCCCTTTGGCCTGCCACGGCCTCTTTTGGCTGGGGATGCACCGTCTGAGTCACCTTCGGCAGCTGCGTCATTCTTTGTAACCTCCTAGACAAACGACAAACAAAAATTAGAATTTTTCAAATACAAATTGAATAAGCAAATTACCTTCTTGGTGCGTTTCTTGGACTCTGCTTTTTCAACGACTTTCTCAACCTTGTCAGCTGCTGCCTTGCGGCCCCTCTTTACTGGTGCTGGTGATGCGTCGTCAGACATGTTTGTATTTTTTGTGATGCAATTTAAAATCAACTGAAAAAAAAATTATAAATAGTAAACAAAGCTCTCAATTTAAATTAACTACTCAACAAAAACTTCAAGAATTTCTTGCCTAAGCAGTATTTTCTCTGATATGAAGTAATACAATATAATATACCGAGTAAATGTATTATTATCAGTTTACTTTTGCTTACGCTATGACTGCAATAATAATAGTGAAAAGCTTTATCCCAAACTATGTTACGATAAACATAACAGATAATAATTATGAGTAATAAAATAAATATCCAACATAAAGACTACAGTATCAAAAAAGAAACGGTACTTAAATGAAAAGTGAATTGAAAGAATTCCTAAGAATTTTCTGTATTTTTTCATTTAGAAAAGATAACCATAAGGAAATTCAAGACCCTGGAATAAACAAAAATTGAGAAAGAAATAGAATGTTTCTTCATACAATTTTCCTATTTTTCGAAATATGTATTTTAATCAGTATAAGACGTGTTCTAATCTTTAGATCACTTGTAATGTCAAATATATAGGGTGTCCAGAATAACATGAAGTACATAAGGATTTTGAAAACCATTGAAGATACAGGATGGGTGGATCAGATGGTGAAAGATACAATCAAGAAGTCTCCAGGGTAGGTGTAGGATAATGTATGTACAGGGTCTATTCCTTATAATTAGTGCGGCTTCTACAGCTTTAATAAAGAAAAATAAAAAAAAAGTTAAATACAAAAGTTGTAGGGTTTTGTCCAATGACCTATTAACACAGATAGACAGAACAATAAACAATAATATCGGTTGACTACATGCCAGGAACCGCATCTCTCCCCACTACTTATTAATCCTTGTGTTATTTTGTTTCTTTCTCTAACGCGTGGAAAGCGATTATTTTTCAATGAAAATTAGCAACGCTGCAAAAAAATAAATCCCACTTCTTCCACCTTTCCATCAATCAACGGCTTCTATTCAATTGTCATGTCAAAATGCGACGAGTAGGTATTTTATGACAATTTCCATTTGTCAATCAGTGCGCAGTGAGTGTATCCGCATCTTTTTCTAAAATTATGTAAAATATAAGGATAAAGATACACTTTTGTAGCACTAATTCTGGTTTCATTTTCAGAGTTGCCAAGTATGCGATAGTAAAATGGGGGCGGAGTTAGCGGAATCATTTGAATCCCTACTCCTAGCCGCTTTCACAGCTCATCCCCCATAAACATGTAGTCAACGAAAACAAAGCTATTTTATCAATGGGATGTTCTGTCTATCTGTGTTAATTAGGCAATCTCAATCACGTGATTTTCTAATGGCCGTTCGGGTCAAATATTGCGGTGACAAGCCGGTGACGTTTTTTCATTGGTTTTGGTCATTGTTGTTTTCATAGTGAATTGTGAATTTTATAGTCATTAGTATTTCTACGTATTTTTTAGTGTTCTGGCCTGTGTTGTTTTCAAAGTGAGTTTTATAGTTTTTCTACTGTTTCTGCGTATTTTTTAATTTATCAATAAATTCTGAGATGGAGAATGAATATCTTAAGGTATTATTATTGAGGGAAAATCGAGCTTTTAGTTGCAGCAATCCATAAAGCCCTGCGTTGTTTTGATAATTTATATTTGTAAATCAAGTCAATGATTTAAAATAGCAGGAACTTAATAAAATTTAACATTATTCCTGTTACCTCGACTTCCACACCCAATTACGATGCAAATCGCTGGCATTTTAATTAACACAATACCTAAACACACAAAAAAACACAAAATCCGATTATTCAAATCTGGACGTTCGTCCAGAATGTGACAGAATCAATGACATACAGAATAAACAACACAGTGCTTGACCCAATGCTTGACCCGAACTTCCATATTGAATTTCGTTTTTGACAGGTCAGTAGATTGCCTAATCAGGGCGTTACTAAGCGCGCGGTGGTCCATATCTCCTATACTAACGGAGATCGAAGAAAAAACTAAATACAAAACTTGTAGATAATAGTATATTCTTCAACTAGCATATAATGATAGCTATTATTCACAAGTAGTGATGTGAACAAGGGAACGTTCTGATTGTGCTTTCGAGAACATTCGCGAACGTTCGCGCACGAAAAAAAGGTTCGTGCTGAATATTACCTTCGGAGCACAATGAGCACGATAGAGAATATTCAGCACGTTCTCAGGCACGATCCTAACCAATAAAATCACATGACGCCATAAAGTAGAGATATATTTATGGAAGCTGTTGAAGGCGAAGATATATCAAATATTGAGCCCGAGAACCAGGAAGCAACTTAGCAGCAATAGTTATTTTTTTTTGGAGGCAAAGGTAGGGTTGTACTGGAATATACTTAAACTAAAATCACTATTTTATTTTATTATCAAAAAAAAAAAGAATCCTAATGATAATTGTATGTTGAAGTTTCACAGAAAACCCCAAATTAGAATAATTATTGTTATCAAACATGACACAAGACACAATTCACAAATTATGTGATTAATTATGTATTAAGTAGGTATATTTTCTTAAGAAGTTTGAGAACTTTCAGCACATTTATCAAGAATTTTCAGAATATTCAGAATTTTCACGAGAAATTTGGGAATTTCGGGAAATTTGAGAAAAATCAGAATTTATTTAGAAAAATGTTTTGTTTTATTCAGCTTCTGATAAAAAGCATAAATTCTCGGGTCCTGCTCGTTTTTGCTCGTTAATTCTCGAGCGTGCTCGGAGAACGTTCTCCTAAAATACTTGCTCGAGCATTTTACATCACTATTCACGAGAATGAAAATTCAAACACGAGCCGAAGGCAAATGTTGGATGGAATCATTCGAGTGAATAATAGCCATTATTTGCCAGTAGAAGACTATACTTTCTCTTCGAACTTTTTGAAAGACAATCATTAGTTTTTGTAAGAAATAACAATCATCAAAAGTCTATTCGAGATCTAACAGTAGATGTCAGAAATATTTTGTTTGCTTTGTCTTGTTGCGGCCCGTGTATTCCGGAAATACGGAGAATTTGATTAGTCGAGAGGCCGTGGATTCTGGTTTGGAATCCACGGGGCATGTAGAATTCGTATCATTAATCAGTTTAATATCGAGCAAGAATGAATGTATTATTTAATGTTCGAAGAGAAACATGAGTACTACATTCCTAAATTATTTTCCAGTATACAGGGTGGCCCGATAAGCAGTGATGACACAAAATTATGTTTTTTTTAAACTATGAACTTGACATAGGCTTTTTTGAATGAGACACCCTATATACCATAAACTCATTGGATTTTGATGATAATACCACATAAACAGTGTCATTACTTAACTGTGCAACATATGGGATTTTTTTTTAGTAATAGCACAATCAAAATACAAACAAGGCCAGAAGTTGGTGCATGTCTGATAATCATATTAGGTGCACTTAGAATGGTTGCAAGTCAAACAGGGTGGCTCAAAAAATATCAAAATTCTACTAATATTTACTTAAATAGAATAAAACTTTTAAGCTTTAAGGAGAGTTTTTTCAATATGGCTATTATCATTAGTAATGTTTTAACTTGTTAAAAAAAAAAATTGCGACATTTTAAAGTTGTGTTGAATATCATTGCAACAAACATGAATTTTGTGATTCCATAAAAAATTAAAAATCTAAGTTAATTTTACAAATATGCTTGAATTTGAACAAAGTTACGTAAAATTGATTTGATTTTCATTAATTTTTGAAAGTATCAAGGGCGGAAATAAAAAATAAAAAAAATATAGAAATTATAGATTTTTTTCGAAAGAAAATAAAAAAATCTTAGAAGGCTATGTTTTGGTATTAAGGCATAACTTTTAATTCCGAACAACTTTTCTTTATAACATTTTGCTGAATTTTCTAAAATAAGGGTACTTTACAGTACAGCTTTGATATTGTGTGAACTACCCTGTATTCTGTTTGACTTGCAACCATTTTAAGTGCACCTAATATGATTATCAGACATGCACCAACTTTTGGCCTTGTTGGCATTTTGATTGTGCTATTACTATAAAAAATATCCCATATGTAGCACACTTAAAAAATCACACTGTATAGGGTGACCCAAAAACAAGTTATGACAGCTTACTTTATTTTTCAAATGAAAACCCCAATTTTTTTTTCATTTTCAAATTCTACGTTAAATTCTGTATATATTTCATGTATCATGTTCTATACCTATCTTCAACTGTTTCGGAAATATTGACAGTTGAAAATTGACTTTTTTGCAATTTTAGGGGAAAACCCATTTCACATTCCTATCTTAGATTTTTATAAACTATCATTTGATACCAACTTTGAATTTAATCCATGATTAAAAATTCCAATTAAATTTAATCTCCGGTTAAATTCAAAGTTGGTGTGGAAAACTAAGAAAATAATGTATTATCGGTTTCGCTCTAAAATAAACCGTTTAGGTTCTACAGCCTGTCAAAGTTGCAAAAAAGTCAATTTCCAACTGTCAATATTTTCGAAACAGTTAAAGATAGGTATAGACTAAATCACGATAGAAAGTGAAGTTGACAGTTCGCGTTGACATTTTTAGTAAACTTTTTCTTTAGGTTGTCAGCATGCGTTAGCGCTTCGATTCCGTTAACAGGGTCGTATTTAGAAAAATGATATACATTTCAGAATAAAAATTTATTTTCAATTTCTTTAAAGGAAGTTAAGTTATTAAAATCCAAAAATCCTAAAATTAGAGTCCAAAGTAAACACTTATAATAAGAGTAAACACTTAAATCCATACTAAAACCAGGTTTGAAACGCAAAACCGAAACACAAAGGCACAGAACACTACATAAAAAACCAAAAAACCGATTGCGATAATAACAAATAAAAAAATAATGCAGAAAACGGCAAAAAACTGAAAGATTTCACACAAAAATTCAAAATTCAAAATTCAAAGACCCGAATCTGTTATTTTTATGTGTCAAATCAAAATGTCATGTATCATTATTTGATAGTTGTCAGAAAAAGGGACAGATCTGGGGATTTTATTTATTTTCAACTGGTGAAAATAACGGTCAAAATTCAAACTCTCTCGTGAATATGACTATATAGGACATGATACATAAAATAGATTCAGAATTTAACGTAGAATTTGAAAATGAAATAAGAAATTGTGTTTTCATTTAAAAAAATAAAGTTAGCTGTCCTAACTTGCTTTTGAGTCACCCTGTATACATGGTATTATAATCAAAAAAACGACCATTAAAATCAAAAATTGATGTGTACGAGATTTTTTGAAAAATATTCACCCTGTATATTTTATAGATTTTATTCAAACCTTTACGTGCTCACTGTATGGATGAAAAAAGAAGTTTTAAAACGGATTAAAGAACTAAAGGGTTTGAAACTTAGGCAATGTGGATTCCAGTGTGGTGCAGATGGAAAGGATAAGAAAATATTCTTAAACAAAGATTTCCCTGTTGGAATGTGCATCTTATTCAAAAAAATAAGCGAGCATATGAAAAGTAGTCATGAAGCAGTAATGAAATGGTTAGGAAGGTTAGTATATGCCGATATGGGGATATGGTCAGCGAGATCAAACATTAACCAGTAATCTTTGCCAGTAAGTAACCAGACGCCAGAACGTTTTTCGTAACCAGAAGTTAAACATCACAGGTGTTTCCTATTTGAGGGCCGGTTTATCAGTGGACGGTATCTAGTAGGGATCGACCGATACGATATGGCTTTATAGAAGGCCGATACCGATATAAGGCCGTCCTTTAGTTTGAATGTTTTATTTGTTTTCTCGCACCTTTTCCTTTAGTTTGAATGTTTTATTTATTTGTTTTCTTCTAGTTTCAATATTGTTTGTTCGAGTTCAGATAAGCAGAAAGTTTAGTTTTTTTTTTTTTAAATAAATAAATAATTTTGAATTTGAGTTTAGATATGCAGAATGTTAAGTTTTTTTTTTTTATATAATAATAATAATAATAATAATAATAATAATAATAATAATATTTACTATCTCCAGAAAAATTACATTCCAAAAAGTTAACTAAGATAAATGTGGGGAATAATAGGCCATATTTGCAGCATCCCACGCAAGCATGAGTGCTATTGAGGCCCCAAAAAATTGCTTAAAATAAAATATAAAGAAAGGCTTATCTAAGATCTATGAATATGAAAATCAAGTAACGCACTTGATACTTAAACTGTAAGACGAAGAAAGAGAAGAAGGAGGTGGAAAAATAGAGAAAAGAAGGAAAGAAAAGAAAAAGAAAAAGAGGGCACATGGTAGAGAATAATATATATACTAGAGCGGAGAATAATATCATATATATATAAATGCCTAATTAATTTAAAATAAATTTATGAAAAACAATTTCTAATATTTACTTTCTTCTTAGTCACTTCCATATGTACGAACCACAATTATTAGCTTTTTTAAGCTTCAAAAAAACCTTAGTGATGATTACTGATCTTTTAAAATATGATTTGTATCGGTCTAAAGTTATCGGCCAATGAAGGGCCGATATACCGATACACCGATATACCTGGAAAAGGCCGATACACCGATATGCCATATCGGTATCGGTCGATCCCTGGTATCTAGTTTAGCTGTCCGTTAACCAATGATAATGATCAGTTAACCAAGAGCTAAACTGAATAACCGTTCACATGGAAACCGGCCCTGAGAAAGAAAATTTTCAACAATTAGGAATGTTAGGATAGTAAACCAAATTGCTATACCAAAAAAAAGCTGGGTCAAGTACCGTTATTGATTTTTTTATGAAAATATAAATATGGCATATTAGATATATCCGATATGCACCATAAAATATCGGATATCATGATATTTTTGCACCCTGATAAATTTTAAAAATTTCATTTACTTTCGGCCCACGGGTCAAAAGTAAAAGTCAAAAAAGTGACATTTCCAAACTTTTTAAAAGTCTGTAAAGTCAACATTACATGTATGATTGTAAATAATAGTAGTTTTCCTAATCAGTGCGCAAAGTTATGTTTTCCCGCACGCGAAAGCAGTTAGACGAACGACGCGAAGCGGTGTTCGGATAAGCTTCAAGTTTAGGAACGTAGGAAGTATTAGGAACAATATTTTTTCTACGAGTGAAATAATTATACTTCCTTTTTAAATTTTGAATTTCTATAGGCATCAAAAACAATTTGTTGTAACTAACTAGGTATATCTAAATCGGCCAAAAAAAAATTCGGCCTCTCTCCGCAGGGCTTTGCCCCCTAAAAAAGGGGGACCGCAGGGCTCCGCCCCCCCCCCAAAAAGGGGCTTCCGCGGGGCTCCGCCCCCAAATATGGAGCATTCGCAGCCAAATATAGGGCTCCGCCTTCCAAATATAGGGCACTCGCAGGGCTTCTCCCTAAACAGAGGCCCCCGCGAGGCTGTGCCCTTTAAAAAAGTGGCTACCGCGGGATTCCGCCCCCCCAATATTGGGCTCTCGCAGGGCTTTGCCCCCCAAATAGGGAGTCCCCAGATTTTATTATGGGTACCAGAAAAAAAAGTGTGCGAGAAAAAAAAATTCCCGCATAGTGTGCGCAAAGTAGTTACTTTGCGCACACTCGTAGAAAAAATAATTTCCAAAATTGATAAAATAGAAGAAAAAAAACGCAAAAATCGAAATATCTTATGACATAGGAAAGTATATTTAGTTGGTAGAATTAGTGCCAATCCTCTACTTTCATATGCTGATAGAAAAAGGTGTAATACACTCATACTCAGTGCCACAATCTGCAAATCGAAAATGCCACCTGTATTTTAGCAAGTCCCTCTACATGATACATCATTAGGTCTGTTCCTCTGTCTCTTTGGACAGAAATCACAAACCAGTCATAGTGAATTTTATTAGCTGAAACTAGTTTTCTGACTGTTTTCAACCAATGAAATTCACTCCGACTGGTTTGTGATTTCTGTGGGAACAGGAACAGACCTATTATCATGAAAATAGTTCTGTTCCAACTGACATGAGAACTGTTCCAGAACCAGTAATTTGCAATTGCCCACCGATTTTTCAATAAGTTGAACGTTTATCCTATTCATCAAATGAATTGTTCATCTGGAAATTACCGTTTTAGAACGGTTCTCATGTCGGTTGGAACAGAGTTTATAATAACTTTGTTTGGGTTTGAAGAAAAGGACAGTTCTAACTGTGCGATTGTGTTGAAACGTTCTAGAACAGTTCTTTTATTAAACCCAAACGAAGCTATCAAGTAATGATGAATGAACACACCTCGTCAAAGAATGCTAAAGTTTTAAAACAGAGCATTAATCAATGCACTCAAAATGGTTGGGACTGACCCAAATAATGAATATAAATTCAATAAATTTGAACAGGATTAACAGGAACAAGTTCTTACACAAAAAGATCAACCAGTTCAACTATATACATAATTAAATTTATAATCCCAGTTGCAAATCAATTAAACTTTATTATAGACAAAACAAAACCGTATTTTTAAATATTTAGCGTGGGTTGGCAGCACGCATGATCAAAAGAAGGCAAAATAAAATTGGAGCCTCAAAGAGTTTTCGCGCAAACGATCTGATAAATCGAACAGAAAAATGAACTAACAAAAGCCCAAGCCCAAGCCGTTATAAAAAAAGCTTTGTGGGCCAAAAAACAAGATAAAAATAATTATTACAATTTAAACTAGCAACTAAATATTGAAAAACATTACAAAATGACGAACAAAAGAAATAAAATGCTCAATGCTCATTGGGGCGGCCATTTTGAGACGCTTCATTTTGAAAGTGCAAGCTTTCTCAAAATAGAAAATCAATAAAAGCTTGCTTTGAGCTTGGAACACAAAGGGCTTGAAATAGAGGCTTTGGAGCCAATGAAAAAAATAAGAAACTTTTGAGACACGTTTCATTGATAAATCCTGAAATGGTTTTAATTAAAATATCATCAAATAAGTAAATCAATAAAAAAACTATTTATAAATAAATAGATTTTATGAATTGCTGTAAATTAAATAAAATCTTAAATAAAACCACTGTATTCAAAAAAGTGTAAAATGCCGCGCGCGCCATTTACAAAACAATATAATATTTTTAAAGATTGCCCAGACAACACCCAAAAATAATTTACCCGATAATTACAACGTGTAGTCGGGAAAACACAATAAAACCAGATAGAAATAAAAATTAGCTAAATTTTAGTGAAATTGCAATCGAAATTCCTGGCGTAATATCAGCGAAATTAATTTTAGAAAATTCAAACCGACCAAGCTTGGCGTCTCGTGTCGAAAATCGTGGCAGCCATACCAGAATTTTATTGGAATAAAATTTCGTTCGGAAATTAATTGCTCTCGAACCGTTTCAGGTAGGAAAACATAATTAACGTGATAAATTGCAATCAAAAAACTAATATTTTAATAAATTTACTTACAATTTGTGAAAAATTCAGCTGAATTTATAAAAATTATTGAGAGTCAAATAAAATCGACTTACCTTACGAACTCACAAGCTGTCTTTGGACCGGCACGGAGAGGTGATTCCGAAGCGTTCCGTTTTGTCGCTAGCGTCGCGCGCGCCAAAAGGTTTTGACCAATCCCGAGACCTCATTTGCAGGTAAACAATCGTTTCCTCTCTTTTCATCTCATAACCGTCGACTTTTGAATCTAATTTATTTTTTTTTTGGAGGGAATATTAATTTTATTTTTAAATCGTTCGACAAGCGGCCAATGAATTTGGTTTGTTTGAGTTTTCGGCGATATTTTCTCACGTTTTTTTCACTACAAGAACGGTTGGATTTAGGGCCTAAAAGATAAGAGGGTTGCATAAAAAATCGATAGAAATCTACCTCTAGGCTGAGAATCTACGTTACAAATATTTTTAAATAATTAATTTAATATTTAATTAATTAAAATAGCTTAAAGTATCAGGAAATTTGCTCAAAACAACAACAAAAATAAAAAAAGTTCAACAAGGTCAAATTTTCCCGCCATCGCCAGTAGCGGTTTTGAACATTCCGACCCTAAAAATCAGAAATCGGTTTGCCCCAGAACAATCATAGGCGTAGGTACCTACTTCAATAAATAAATATTATTTTAATTAATGTATGGCCGTTTGCCCACCAATATTTTAACATGAGAAAAAGTCGATTTAAAGGAATAATAGGTACTTATTGTTAAGGCTTCCTTGAAACGATTGGTGCAAATGGTACCTAATAAATTAAATTAGGATGTCTGGGTTTCTTTTCTGATCTAGCCAAATAAATCAAATTATCTCTATAATGGTAGGTACCTATAGGTATAATGGTGCAAACTCTCTAGTCTTAATGGAAAACACTTATTTTTATTGGTATTGATATGAAATTACATTGATGCGGATATGCCTACTCCATACTGTTTGGACCCATGGGCCTAATGGGTATCCGGAAGGTAGGTAAGTATGTAGAATATTTAGGGGTAGAGTAGAAAGGAACATTATTCCGTCTAAGGGAAAGTTTATGTTAGATTGACACCTAAAAATGATCAAACCCTAAATTCAGTAGATACCTACCTACGGCATTTTTAACAACCGACCAAAAATTTCCATTTTTTTTTTCAAAATAGTCGAAAACAAAGCAAAATTCAAGTATTTTATAACAATTCTTTCTGTAGAAAATCAAATCTCCCTCTCTAGGTAATAGACATTTAAGTTATGTCCGGAAAATCAACTTTTACATTATGAGTGAGATGTAAATGTTTTCGGACGAGGTGGCGAAGGAGCCAGAATGTTCAAACAACTCTAAAGTGGTAACCGCATAAGCGCTGGAACCATGGGGGCAATGGGAGCTTGAGCCCCCGTAGGATATTTGCTATTGGGGCGGAGCCTGGAGCCCCCATAGTGATTTTGATATTGTACAGAATGTCCCACTCAGGTCGGCCAGGTACGATATTAGGGAAACCATAGACCTTACGGCTTCGGGATTTTTTTTCTTTAAATCGGCCAAGAGAAATTGATGGAAATTATTTTCAAGTTTCTAAGAGGACCGCTAGGGGGCGCAGTTACGAATAACTACATAACAGTGACTAAATAAACCTTTACATACAGTGGCGACAATAAGAGACAAGAGGTCCCGCCGCCATTTTGTGCCCTACCCTTTTGTTACTTATACGATTTAAATGGATATCCATCATAAAAAATTGAAAACAACGTATTTTATGTACCTAATAATAGTCATCAAATAGGTACGTTGCTTTCAATTTGTTATGGATGGATGGCCATTTAAATCCTATAAATTCATATTTAAAATTAGCAGGAGGTAGGGCACAAAATGGCGTTTTACATATAAATATATAAGATTTAAACCACAGTGGCGACAATAATTGCTGTCTTATTTTTAATTGGTTCTATAAAATCCTATACCGGTCTGGCAAAGTGGCAAGTGAACATCTCGCAAGCCAATTTCAATGCAAATAGAATGAAAGGTCTAGAAAAAGTATAAGGTTAAATAGAGAACGAAAACGATTTCCCCTGTTCCACCTGCTCCAGCATTCCCAGCGCTTCATGCTGCAGGTGGAACAGGGGAAATCGTTTTCGTTCTCTATTCAACCTTATACTTTTTCTAGACATTTCAAATTCTATTGCATTTAATAGGCACGTAAGATTTGACAGCCCTTCGCCCGCCAAGAATCCAATAATTTTCGCGTAGAATACCCATTAGGCTTTGTGTACCCACGTGTAGAGATTTAATATGTCGTTCAAAAAGAAGCCTACTCACCAGAAAATGCTTTGCAGGCGAAACTACGGGAAACAGAAACTGCTCAGGCAGCATCTTTTCGATTACTGATTCTAGTGCGTAAGCGAATTAAGCCTTGCTCGTCTTTGAAGGGATTTAAATTACATAGGCGAGGATCATTTTCATCCTTGAAACATTCCTGTTGTATCAGTTTCAAAATATGCCAGATCTGTATTGTATATTCATATAGCAAACGCCGCCATTTTGTGTGTTTGGACAAAACTCGATTTAAAAATAGTACATTAGGACGTAAAACGATTTGAAGAATCCGAAAAACAAAAAAATACAGGGTGTGCCATTTGAAAATCAAAAGTTTCGGTAATTTCCGGTGAAATCGGAAGTCAGGAAAATTTGCCATAAATGCATAAAAATGGCGTTTAGTTAAAATATCAAGCCTATCAAGTTTCGTTGATATGGATGAATAAATAAAAAAATGGCAGCCGGAAAGTAAGCTCGTGGGCACCCGGTATATTCATATTTTAAAAGTAACAAGAGGTTGATGAGCACCAAATGGCGGCGGAACCTCTATTGTCGCCACTGTATATGTAAAGGTTTATTCAGTCACTGTATGTAGATATAACTAAAAATTCAAATTTTCTCAAGAAATCGCTATATTAAGATAGGTACTGTCTTAACAACAGAAATCTAAAGTTCATCAATTTTTGTGATCTTATACAACTGTGTGTAGTATTTAAACCTGCATTTTCAATAATAGGTTCGATTATTATTTCCTTTCCGTTAGTTTCCATGATAGGTATGTTTTCATCACAGGAATATATCAGGTTTGTTCCAACCTGCAATAATATTACTGTAATATTATCGTCCGTAACCGCGCTAATGCGACTGCGCAATCAAAAACAGTAATATTATACTAAATAACTTAAAAACTTGTTGGAACGTTTTTTGAACTAGTAGTACTCACAACTCACAACACAAGATGAAAATAACAAAATCAACATAACTTGCATATTTGCAGCTGCATCTTCCACCACAATAAGGAATTCTTCTAACCCTAATATAAGACAAAAATCAGATTTATTAACTCTGAGAACAAATAATATAAAATTACTTAACTTCTATAGCAGTCATTTTCAAATAAATAATTTAAATAAACAAAAAACTGAGGTTCTGGGTTATGTATTATCATTTATGTTCGTTGTTGTTCAACCACTGACCCGTTTTCGACCTCACTACGCATGCGTCTAATTTTAGAACCAACAGTTCTTCCTTTCAAGCAAGAATCGTTTGAACCGTAATTTTACTATCCGTAACTCCGGTTGGAACGACGAACTGTCAATTATCGCCAATTCTAAATTAGTAATTTTAACTGGTTGGAACAGCATTTCACAATTGCGCATGTGTGCCAGTAATATTACTGGAAATTACTGCCGGTTGGAACAAACCTATCATAATGTACCAATACACTATACACTGGCTTTTTTTACCTAGTTTATCATGGGAAATTTATATACAGACCGAATTTAGCTTCTACCCGATTAAGGCTGATCGAATCGGTGCTGCCCACTGGCTTTGCCAGCGAGGGGAACAAAGGGGCATTTGCCCTCTTCCCCAAAAAACCCTTACATTTTATTAATAATTCAAGATTAAAATAAAGAAAAAAATCAATTCAATTCCTAGGTAAATAATCAAATACATACATATTATAATATAAGTAACGTTCTACTATAAATTCTTATCAAAATTTGTTAAATTGACCGCATGCCCGTTTGCTCCCACCATTAGTGGTCCCAAAAATACCGCAAAAAGACCCAAAAATTTCGCGCTTGCGGCGGAGCTGTAAGGATCACTTCATGCTAATTTTTCCCCCTTCTCTCAAGACAAAATCCTCCTGGCTACGCCAATGGTGCTGCGGAAGCCGAGTATAGCCGAGCTGCCGAAGATGCACGAATTTTAATAATATGCAGGGATGATCAGATTCAGCTTATGGCGATCCTGCAATGAAAGGGTATTTGTCAACTGGTCCCATTTAAGCCTATGTGTCTAGTAGCCTAGTCCTCTCTCTATAATTAATTCTACTTATGTTAAGTTTTGAAGCCCGAGCCCCCATAGTGATTTTGAAATTCGGGCGCCTATGGGTAACCGGACAGAACTGAACATGAATGAACATAACATAAAAAAACGGAACATGAAAAAACCGAACAGTGAAAAAACAGAACACTGATAATATAGAAAAAGGAAAAACTATGACAGAACCGAGAAAAAAAAACAACACTGAAATAAACTCGCAAGTAAAAAGAACCTTGACAAAACAGAACTCTGAAAAATGAGAACTAAAGGGAAAGATATACCTATTGACACAAATATAAAATTCCCAAATAAATAAATCATGGACAACCTTAAGGGCCGGTTTCTCAATAGTGTAGTAGGGTGATCATCAGTGACAACACTGTATTGTATTTTGTATTGTTAAGTATATCTAGCAAATAATTATTATACCTACATATTTAATAAATAATGTAAGTAGTAAGTACCTCTTCCTTTAGGGCCGGTTTCTCAATAGCAAGTCACCCCCGATTAAGCATAACTCCAAGATGAACATTGCAACTGAACACGTTTACCCTGGAGATGAAACCAACCTGGAGATGACTCTCTATTGAGAAACCGACCCTTACCTGAGAACATTAGCGTTTATCAGGTAAAAGTAGATCTAAATGATTAAATTTAGTTTTTTTCGATGGTGAATTTGGCTTTGGTTGAAGAAAATTAATGTTTACTCTCTGGATCAGAAGTCACTTAAAATTAAAATTTTACATCATTCCTTTTTAGGTAGCTTGTTGGTAGATGGGCCACGACCTTTTCCAAGTTTTTTAGGCGACATTAATTAACTTGCTTTTAGTTTACTGAACAGTGAAGCCTATTTTGGAGCCTACCGAGCAAATAGGCATCAGTTACTATAAATTCCAAAATTCCTGAGTGGATAATACTGTTAGCAATTTAATAACTAGGTATTTTTTGTTTTTCATACTCTATTTTTCTCTGTTGTTCTTATTTTTCAGAGTTCCGTTTTGTCGAGCTTCTTTAATTTCAGTGTTCTCTTTTTTCTCACTTCTGTTATGTTATGGTTCTCTTTATTCCTTTTTCTGTATTATCACTGTTCTGTTTTTTCAATGTTCTGTTTTTTCATGATCTGTG